AAACATCCCACACAGAACCAACATGACCAACAGAAGATATTGTGTTTTCTGATGGTCTTTAGTGACCTCTCTGACCCCCTCTCACAACCCTCTCAGGGGCCCCGACCCCCAGGTTAAGAAACACTGCTCTATTTCATATCTCTCTATTGGTTCCTATTTTGCCTCTGCTTTCTTGTTCACATGGACACCTTTTGCACGGAAAACAATTGAGGTCTTTAATGAAATTAACTAGGTAGACACTCAATTTATGTACGGGTTAGGGACAGGAGATCTAAAAAGTAGAAAAAAATATGAAAAAATACTACAGTTGCCCATCCACATTTATGTTTCTGACTATAGAAGACCTGATTATTCAGTTATTTGACTGAAATGTTCTCTCTAAGTGTTTCTAGGTCCTCCAGTACTACCCTATAGTCAGCTTCCAACATATATTCACCATAAAGTTATATTGGACATTTAAAAATTAATTTTAAAATTATATATATTGAGAGCTATATAATACCAATAGATAAGAAAAACAATAAAACTAGCTTTTTCATTCAGATTTTTTTTATTTCATGGGGTTCCTGTGATCCTTACTTACAAAATCCCTAGGTCCTATGGTCAGTATTTGCTGGATACAAGAATATAATTTCATATTTGACAGGGAACAAAGCATACCTTTGAATGCATAACCAACATTTGCTGGAATGTGATACTATGGCTCCTAAAAGAACTTTCTGCTTTATGATTAATTCCTTTTTGAGACATTATTCTAGATGAAAACAAAATATTCGTTGACATTTCCTACAAGGTTGTCTCAGAATTAGCACAGAATTCACCTTTCTTGTGCTTAGGAGGTCATGAAGCACCTGGGGCTCAGTAATTTCCTTCTTTAGCACTTTGGCATCTGATGAGTGTCACTCACTGAACTGGCCTCTTGAATGTCATGTTCTTTCCCTTGAAAGGTCAGAGGAAGAGTGGGATTCCCCACGTATTCCAGGCTTTGGCTTCTGGACTTCTTCGTCATTAGTTTTCTCTATGGCACGTCTTCACATTGGAACTAATGCAGTTTGCCCCCACTTTAACTGCAATGGGTCAATGCTATGGAATTCTGGGAGTTTTATTTTATTGATTGATTGATTGATTGTAGCCCCCGGTGGTGCAAAAGGTTAAACCCTTGTGCTGGCAGGACTGAAGAAAGATAGGTCAAAGGTTCAAATCCGAGGAGAGCACAGATGAGCTCCCTCTGTCAGCTCCAGCTCCCCATGTGGGGACATGAGAGAAGCCTCCCACAAGGATGGTAAAACATCAGAACATATGGGCGTTCCCTGGGCAATGTCCCAGCAGATGGCCAATTCACTCACATCAGAAGTGACTTGCAGTTTTTCAAGTTGCTCCTGACACACACACAAAATTAGGATGGTTCTACCCTGCCTTTCTCTGCATCGCAGACCCAAGGCAGCTTACAGCATAACAGCATATCAAATCCAGCATTCAACAATATATGAAAAGGTAATAAAACATCATCAATACAATCCATAAAAGATTAAAACAATAGCCTCCTCCCTTATGTATGCCCCCCACGTGCCAACATTAAAATCCCGATATCCTCCCATGCTTCAATTAAAAGCCTTATTAAATAGCAAAGTCTTTACCCCCTTTCTAAAACTGAGAAGGGATGGGACTGCTCTTAATTCTTTGGAGAGGGTGTTCCAGAGTGCTGGAGCAGCAACCGAGAAGAAGGCTTCTCTCGTTAAGCGTAATCACATGTGTGAATATGCCACGGTTTCCCCCGCTAGATCTAATTGCCACTGGTTCACGTGGCAATTTGTGTTTCCCTGCTAGATCCAAGTTCATGTCTTGGGATGTATCAGGGGACATGGTGCTTCAGGTAGGCTGGACTGAAGCCGTTGTAGCCGTTGTAGCTTGAAATTTAGCCTTCTCCACCAAAGAGTTTTGATCCTTCAGCAACCTACAAATCACATGATTTCATATCACTGAGGCATGGCAATTAAAGTGTACTGATTCTACTGTGTAAATGCACCTTAAGGAAGAGGCCCAAATTGTGAATAATAGTCTGAACCTTGGTGTTGTTCTAGCTACAAATTAATGGAATTTACTTACCAAGTTACTAATCATTCAACAGCTATACTCATCTTAGAACTGAGAATAGCTCATAAAGACATTGTAAATAGTCTGAACCTTGATGTTGAGAAAAGCCCATAATGATATTAGGTTATGTTAGTAATCCCCAAGACAACATCTAATAGAGCAAGGGGTCAAGGGTTGTGGGGAGGATTCTTGCCAGGGGATGGTCTACAGTTGATACCATTCTGATAAAGCTCCACTGTAGATCCACTAGTTATGCCCTAGTCTTCGAACTACGGGAGGACAGGAAAAGAGATTTAAAGATGAGCTGAAAACCAACCTTAAAAATGGTGGCATAGACATGGAGAATTGGGAAGCCCTGACCCTTGAGCACTCTAGCTGGAGGTCAGCTGTGACTAGCAGTGCTGTAGAATTTGAAGAGGCACGAATAGAGGGCGAAAGAGAGAAATGTGCCAAGAGGAAGGCGCATCAAGCCAACCCTGACTAGGACCACTTTTCACATGGGAATCGATGCCCTCACTGTGGGAGAACATGCGGGTCAAGAATAGGGCTCCACGGTCACCTTCTTACCCACTGCCAGTATACCACATTTAGAAGACAATCTTACTTGGACAATGAGGGATCACCTTAGTAAGTAAATCTTTGAACTCCTTAAACCATCAGATCCCGTGCCACATAGAGCTGCATAGCCTTTCTAAAATGAATTAGTATGCTACCAATTATCCAGCATCAGTGTATATCCTGCTGGAAATCAACTATATCTCCTATCATCCACAACCATTATAAGTGAGCTAGTGTCAATGGGAGATATAACCCAATAGCTGCAGCTTCCTCATGTGCATGCTTCATGAAAAATGTCCTAGCTCAGGAGTGGGTAACATTTGGCTCTCTTGGGATTCTAACTTTCACCTATCCCACACAACTTGGGTAGTGGTTAAGGATAGTGGGATCTAGAGTTCAACTTCTGGAAAGTTAATTTCCCCACCTACGAAAATAATATGACTTTGATAACTTTTGATGAACTCCGCCCCCCCCCCCCCCCGTTTACTTTCTCATCCTTCTCCTTGCAGGTGAGGCTGGTCCATGTGTGAGACAGACAGCTGCTCTTTGTGTTTGATATGTCCAACCTGTATTCATTCACATACTTAGCCTACATTCTCAATTTATTTATAATTTTATTGCTTAAATATATAAATAAATAAATAAATAGCAGAAATTCTTGCTATTGTAAATCAAAGATTTAGTGGTAGGTCCTATTCCAATCTGCCCCCTGAGCTTTCCTAGCCAATGGATCTTGGCTGGATACAAATAGTGAGTTATTGAGGAGTTGTCAAGAGTTAATTCAGGGGTTTTGTGTAAGAGTGTCATTGCTACCTGTGGTGTATACTTTCACACCAATACATCAATTTCCTACTCCATTTGTGAGGGTGATATATGTAAAAAAAATTAAAGTTTTGCCTACTGGACATGGGAATTTCAAAAGGTCTCCTCATGCCATCACATTTTTCCCAGCCTGTAGCAATTTTTCCTGCTGTGGTTCATCATTGGTGAAAGAAAAAGGAAAGATGAAATTGATGGGAACACTCCAGATCGCACAAATCCATATATCTTGCTATCTAATGGTCATTTATAAATGTTTTGGGATGGGGTACTTTTTGTTTATCAGTGACCAGGTGACAGAAAACAAGGGATGGGTAGAAGCAGATGATTGCATGGCATAGATACCACCCTTAACTTGGTAGCAATGATAGGGTAAAATGCCTGATCTGGAAATACGTGTAGGTACTAAGGTGAGAGACAGATAGAGGAAAAGGATAGCCCAACATTTATCCTGTCCACTAATGGGCAGGTGAGGAGGAAAAGTGGGGAATTTTAAGGACAAGGAGATAGATTTGGACCTAGATAACTGCATTGATTTGCTGGAGGAATAACAAAGGTCTTCAGCTTCCATCACAACAGCAATTTTTAACTCTGAAAACTAAACCTGGGCTCCCTCTTCTGTAGTAACTCCAATTGTTTTGTGTTTTAGACGTGGCCCTTCCAAGGAAGTGGGCCATCTTGGGTCTCAAAAGATAATGGGCAACTATTTTTCATTTGCCTCCTGTTAGAAAATTTTGGAGTTCTGATTTGTGTGTGTGTGTTGAGAAACTGCAAGTCGCTTCTGGTGTAAGGGAATTGGCTGTCTACAAGGATGTTGCCCAGGGGACATTTGGATGTTTTACTATCCTGTGGGAGACTTCTCTCATGTCCCCACCTGAGAAGCTGGAGCTGACAGATGGGAGCTTACCCCGGTCCTTGTATTTGAACCACCAACCTTTAGGTCAGCACTCCTTCTGGCACAAGGGTTTAACACATTGTGCCATTGGGGACTCCTGGAGTTCTGATGAAAGGTCACAGTCTTTCCTCTGTTGTAAAACAGTGGCTTCCAGATTTTGGTCCTGATGTCTCAGATCAGCCCCCAGAAGTTTCACCCAACTTTGCCACTGCATAAAAGACATTGTGAATGCATTATGCAATCAAATAATCCCATGCAAAGGCTTTAGATGTTGCCTGCCTGATGGAAAGGGACAAGCTCCTTCTATACCGGGAATTTGTGCAAGGATAATTGTCCAACTGCCAAAGAAGGGGGTGGTTGTCTTCCTTTGCATCCAGACAGGCTAGGGGAGACTGGTTGAACTGGATTAAGAATGATCACTCCAGGAAATATATGCATCAGAAAGGATTTATTAACATTAAACTATAACATAGCCACAAACAACAATAACAGGAGATGGAGACCAGTCAAGAAGCTCTTCAGAAATGCTATTTTGAAATGGACAGAGGAAGGTTGATCTTTTCCAGAGAAGAGAAAAGGCAGTGACATCCAGAGAAAACATCCATGCAGTTGTAGCTGACAACCAAAAACTTCTTTAGAGCTCATGCTTGCACATGTAGGCATTGCGTCTCTGGCACCGAGCATCATTCCATAGAGTAAAACCTGAAATACAGAAGACATGTCAAAATGTTATTTTTCCCTCCCTTTTACCTGTTTGTCCCAATGTGTTTAGACTTAAGCAAAGTGTGAGGAGTGGGTGGAGAATACAAGAAATCATGTTGTTAGGTGCTATCAATTCTGAGAGTGCCTTGGACCGGAGAAGATCCAACCAGTCCATACTTCAGGAAATAAAGCCCGACTGCTCACTGGAGGGAAGGATATGAGATGTGGCAAAGATGAAGTACTTTGGGTACATCATGAGAAGACAGGAAAGCTTAGAGAAGACAATAATGCTGTGGAAAATGGAAGGAAAAAGAAAGAGGGACCGACCAAGAGCAAGATGGATGGATGGTATTCTTGAAGTGACTGGATTGACCTTGAAGGAGCTGGGGGTGGTGACAACTGACAGGGAGCTCTGGCATGGGCTAGTCCATGAGGTCACCAAGAGTCAGAAGTGACTGAATGAATAAACAACAATGTGCTATCAAGTTCTTTCCTACTTATGGCAATCCTAAAGTGATCTATCATGTGGTTTTCCTGTCAGGATTTCTTCAGAGGATATTTGCCTTTGCCTTCCTTTGAGACTAAAACTGTGTGGCTTGCCCAAAATCATCCATACTCCTAAGTATCTAACAGACCTCACAACCTCTGTGGATGCCTGCCATAGATGCAGGTTAAAGGTCAGGAGAGAATGCTTCTGGAACATGGCCATACAGCCTGGGAAACACACAACAACCCAGTGATTCCAGCCATAAAAGCCTTCAACAATATACTCCTAAGTAACTTGCCAACCTTCCCCAAAACTGTTTGAGAAAAGCCTAACAGATGAGGTATGCCATGGCTGGTCTTATATGGAGCAACCAATGTGAGAACTTGGCCTAGGCATTGCAAAGAAAAATTGTAAATTCATGGAGAACGAGATGCTTTTGACAACATTTTTGATCTTTTCATACCTGTGGAAAATACCAGTTCCACGCAGTGTTCACTATTGAGATAGTTGTCTGGTTGGTGGGTCATCCAGGACTTGTAGTTGTAAGTTGACTCATCAGCCCACCTCCATCTCCTGGTCTGTGGAAAGGAGACAGAATAGGATGCTTAAGGAAATGAAGAACTCTGTGCAAAAAATAAATCTAGAGAGTTTGGTTTATTTATTTATTTCGTGACAAAAGCATTGCATAAAATTGTTTATCAAAACTGATAAAATAAAGGGATCACAAGCTGCTAGGTAGTTTTAGACCCAAAACGGGCAACAGTGACTGCATTGTCTGTAGCTTTAAACAATTCTTCATCTGTGTATAAGGCAGGACATTGTGGGCAAGCATACAGATGCTGAGTTGTTTGTTCTGCTCCACTAAAGAAAAAAGTGGAGGATTCTAGGTAGTGCCATTTTGCCAGGTTGTCTTTTGATCTGCCAACTCTGGTTCTGAGTCTGTTCAGGGACTCCCAAATTTTGCCCCTGGAGGAAGACCCTCATGAGGGCCATCCAGTTGGAATTGCCTGATTTTGCTGCCCACAGGGGTCTTCTTGCTGTTGCTGGAGGAACATTTAGAGGAGTGGTAGTTCTCATGAAGCTTTTCCACAAAGAGTTTGGTCATTAAAGATGGTTGAGCTGAGGTCATAATAAGTCCTTGTGATCATAGCCAGATATGGAAAAAGAGAGAGGCTTACCTGACGAACATCATGGAGCCCAATCCAGACATGGCTTGGTTCTTGTTGGTAAGCGGAAATATATTCAGCCACTAGAAGAGTCTCTGCCTTGGTGAGGACAGAGGCAAGATGGGCTCCACGGCCATAGCTCTGGCACTCAATCTGAGAAGGAAGAAATGGAAGGGGACCGTCATTTCCATCAAAGGAATTGAATATGCCAGAAGGTAGTGGAGTCTCCTTTGTTGGAACTTTAAAAATATACTTTGGGTTAGCATCTCTTGATGATGCTTTACAGGTGTGACAGGGTAATGGTCTACGTGGGAGTTGGGGTTCCTTTGAATTCTGTAATTCCATAATTCTATTATTCTGCTTCATTTCAGCTCTATCTCTGTGTTATTGTTGACCAAAATTCCCTCAAGCCATCTTCCTGAGGACCAAGAAACTAACTTGTACATTGTATGGTATATCAAATGTGTGTTGGTGACACATGTTTCTCACCTCAGCCTCTTGCCACGTTAATTTATTGTCAAAATAAGCATAGCAGTTCCCTTGGTTTTGCAGCCATTCCCTTGCACAGGTGTCGGCGTCAGCTACGAGAGAAAAGGAGGATGAGGGCAAAAAAGAAAGAAAGAAAACAAGAGAGGAGGCAGAACAATTAGAGGAGGATACCACTTTTACCATGCCTTCCGAAACCCAGCTTTCCCACAGGTAGCATGGATTTACGTACTCTGAACCCTCCCTTGAGAAATCTATATGGATGGCCTAGGGATTCACTGTTTCCAACCCAAGTCACCCTGTTTTCCCCATAACAGAGATGTCAATCTTTGTTCAGAAACTCACCTCCCAAAAAGAAGATTCCAAGAAGGCAAAGCGTGAGGTAAGTGAAGAGACCCATTTTTTGGTTGACCTTTGAAGGGAAAGAATAGAATAAATTAAAGAGGCATAATTCATGGTTGTCAGTATCCAAATTCTTCTCCACACTCGTATGTCATGGATTCCACTTTGTAGGGAGAAGAGCAAACCACTGACCATCTGCTGCGATGCAACCTGAGCCCTGCCACATGCACAATGGAGGACCTTCTTATAGTAACACCAGAGGCACTCCAAGTGGCCAGATACTGGTCAAAGGACATTTAATCAACTACCAAGCTTGCAAACTTTGTGTTTTGTCTATTTGTTTGTTTGTTTTGTTAAAAATGTAATAAAAATGTCTGGTTGTTCCTGACACAATAAATAAATAAAATATCCAAATTGGTGACAAAGGGAAAAAAACATCTTATTTCCTGTTACAACCACAATTATGTGCTTCTTTTATTTGTATTTCTAAGAACTGGGAAAATTAGAGGGAGCCTCAAGTTTAAATGTATGGAGCTAGCTCATTACAGCAAAGACAGCAATCGAGATGTTCTGTTACCTTAAGATTGACACATTTATTATGGTGTTAGGTTTCAAGGACTACAGAAGTGGACTCCACTCCATGAAAACGTATGCTGTAAGGTATCTATGACATTTTCAGAGTTGATGGTCAAGCTATAGCTGCCCTCAAATGATGCTGGACTTCAACTCCTACTATTCCTCACTATTGGAGTATACTGATGGCAGGTGTTGGTGAACTACAGCTCCCATCACTCCTTGTCAGCAGCTAGGGCTAATGGGAGTTGCTGTTCAACAAAATAATGTACTTAAGTTGCCAAATCCTGAAATAAACTTGTATTGTCATTGGGACTATGGGACTTAAGATATTATTGTAGGTAGTTCAAATTACATATCAATTTAATGGCTGCACTTTAGCTAAACAGCAAATAGAATTGAGGCCTCTCTGATGAACAATTTCTTTCCTTTCTCTAGATATTGCTATTCAACCCATCAATTCAGTGGAAATCAAATGTCTGCCTGTCCACTCATGGATCAACTAAAGATTTCAAATCCAAATTCCACATCGGTTCTACAACAGTTCAATAACAGCTTGTTTAGTGATAATATTGTAAACTATGAGTCCTGTTTTGTAAATGTACATTTAGAGCTTGTATTTGCTGATTAGTTCTTTTCTCATTTCTATCTCAAAGTCTTTAAAAACACAATTTCCCATACTGTAATCTCCAACCCTGGAATTGCCTGGAAGACATATGGAATATTTTCTCAGCCACTCACCTTTCGTCGATGTTCTACTGGGCAGACCGTTGTAGTGGAGAGTTGATCTGGGAGCTTCTTGACTGATGATCTCTCCCTTTTTGGGTGACTGTTATATAGTCCTTGGGTGGACATGCTGCAATTCGAAATGAACAATGCTTCAAGGAAATCCTGGTCCAGCATCTCCAGGATTTGCATAAACTTGAACGAAACTAGTAGAAAGCAGCTCATACACTGCAGGTCACCCATTGCAGAAAGGGCAACATATTGCCCTGAGGTAGGGAGATATATATGCAAAAAATTAGAATTTCAAAACTTTGCAAGAAAATGGGAAGAATCTTAATTTATGATAATTCTAAGGCATGCTCCTTCTCTTAACCCCTTTGGTTTGAAAGTTTAGGGGATGTGTTTGATACCTGCCCAGACATTGGTTATCCTTGCTCAAATCTTAGATGTGTGTATGGACCCTCTATTTATTTATTTATTTATTTATTTATTTATTTATTTATTTATTTATTTATATACTACCACTGCACACTCTCAGATCCATCCCTTGGTCAAGGTATTCTCGAAGGCTTTCATGGCCAGAATCACTGGGTTGTTGTGAGTTTTCCAGGCTGTATGGCCATGTTCCAGAAGCATTCTCTCCTGACATTTCACCTGCATCTTCAGAGGTTGTGAGGTTTGTTGGACACTAGGAAAATGGGGTTTATATATCTGTGGAATGTCCTTTGCCACTACAAAGTTATCACAATTTTACTCCTCTTTAACTGCTATGGCTATATCCTATGGAAGCTTGGGATTTTCAGTTTCACAAGGTATCTACAGGGCTATAATGCACCCCAAACTACACATAATGGGGTTCCATAGAATGAAGTCATGGAAGTAATAGTGGAATTAATGTTTTATAAATATGTAATGTGAACAGGATTTTGATGCCTTTCTCTTTCTCACCCTGATGTCAGTTGATTTAACTGTGATAATGGTTTTAACTATGGTTTTGTATATTATGTGTAATTTGTATAGGCATCAAATTGTGCCTTTTTGTAAGCCGCCCTGAGTCCCCCCTCGGGAGTTAAGAAGGGCAGGGTAAAAGTACCCAAAATAAATAAAATTGATGCAGTTGGCATTCATGCCAGTGTGGAGCTGAATTCACTCTAGGTTTCAACCAATACTTTCAAGGTTGCCAATTGTTGTCCCCTGAATAGATTCAAAATAGGTAACTCTCTTGTGTTCACCTGTGAAACATGGCAGATTTTCAGTTTTGCTAGTGCTAGGACGACACTCTTTCCCTTCAAAACTGTTGAGCAAATACAGGTATGGCAATAGAACATGTTCACTAGACAGAGTTGGGGATCTCTATTTGAAAGCAAATGATGGTCTGTTGATATGGGACAATTGCCACGCAGACATACCAGAATTTTTCCTTTAACAAATTCTCATCAAAATATGTACTCATTTGACAGCCCATTTCTATGTCTCCTCATAAACCCTGGATTGAAGACTCAAGACAACAGTAAGGACTTAATCAGACCACACCTTTGCGAGCAAGACTTCTAAAATAGTTATTTTAAAGGGTTTTATTTAGAGGTAATATACACATTTTGTGGTGTGTTTTCCCCTAATGTACATGTATGGTTGAAAAGTCCACTGTAAAATTCAGAGACATCTAGTTTTGCAGATTAATGACAGAGAATTTTGGTTTCTATCTCAACTTGAAAACATGACATTAGATGTATTCACATCAAAATATGAACCAGTTGAATTTTTCCTTCATTCATGATCCAAAATCTCCTTAAGAATCAAACTTTTTTTTTACTTATTCTGTTTCCACTTTGTCCATTGTCATTGACCATTGATATGACCATTGGCTAGAGACTTAAATATTTGCACGTATCTCTTCTGAGTTTTGAAACAACCACATAGACATTATTATGTCCTGAACAACACTTTGTGAATGCATTTTTTCAACAAGCGTCAAAGGAGTCCACCCCAGGCTTAAATATTTCCTTGTGGCCTAAAAGAGAGAGGGGAAAAGGGGAGAAGGCAGGGTACACGGGTCCAAGAATTTGCATAGACATCTAGCTTTTTGACAACTCATCCTTCAGACTCTCTGGCTAAATTTAACTTCTTTTGTCATTGGTTCATGCCATGGGAAGCCCATTCAGGTTTACAGACAGCCAGCATGGAAGGGAGATAAGGCAATGTACTCCATGGCATCCCCTTCCAACCTCAGCTTCACTGCGTTGATATGGAAAGTGGGGAATAAGGCTCTGAAAGAGTTGGCTGAATGAAGTGGCCATCTGTGGTATGATCAAGAATGATTGTGTAGACCAGAGATGGACAACTGTAGGTTGCATGTGGCCCCTGGGGTCATTTTGTGGGTCCAAAGACCTCCAGAGAAATCATCTAGGGTACTTGGGGAGGACTTTTTGTAATGTTTAGGGCCAGGGAAACCTTTGTTTAAAACAGGGGAAGGCCTCTCCTGCCCCTCAATGCCATAGTGAAGGCTGAAAACATGGTGAAAACACCTCCCCTTTTTGTATATCTTTAGTGGGGTGATGTAATTGAGAGTGTGGCCTCTCAAGGCCTCCAAGGGGGCTAATGTGGTTCCCTAGCTTCACACAATTGTCTATTCCTATTATTATTATAATTTCATGTCAAAAGCATTGCATACATAAGTATAAAACCAATAAAAATAGAAAGAGCACAAGCGGCTAAATAATTTTTCACCAAAACTGGGCAACAGCGACTGCATTGTCCATAGCTTTAAACAATTCTTCCCTTGTGCATGATAATCACAGGGCATTGTGGACAAGCATACAGGTGCAGAGTTGTTTGTTCTGATCCACAGGCACACAAGGTGGGAGATTCTTTTAGGTAGTTACATTTTGCCAGGTTGTCTTTTGATCTCCCAACATCACTTCTGAGGCCCATTCCACACAGCCCTATATCCCAGAATATCAAGGGGAAAAAAACCCAGATTTTTTTTATCGTGTCATGAGCAACTTGAAAAACTGCAAGTTGCTTCTGGTATGAGAGAATTGGTCGTCTGCGAGGACGTTGCCCAGGGGACGCCCGGATGATTTGATGTTTTTACCATCCTAGTGGGAGGATTCTCTCATGTCCCCTCATGAGGAGCTGGAGCTGATAGAGGGAGCTCATCCGCCTCTTCCCGGATTCGAACCTGCAACCTGTCGGTCTTCAGTCCTGCCGGCACAGGGGTTTAACCCACTGCGCCACCAGGGGCTCCCAGATTATCTGCTTTGAATTCGAATATATGGCAGTGTGGACTCAGATAACCCAGTTCAGAGCAGATATTGTGGGATTTTCTGCTTTGATATTCTGGGATATAGGGCTGTTCAGGGACTTACAAGTTGCCCATACTTAGTTTGCCCTTGGAGGCAGGCCCTTGTGGCGGGCCATCCAATTGGGATGTACTGATTTAGCTACCCAGTGAGATTCTTTTAATATACTATTAATAACTTCTTTGTCTTTGTGTTTCTCTTTGTCGTCAATATCTGAAAGCCCTGGAGGAATTTTTGCAAAACCTGGTCTGGGAAAATCAAGTTTCCTCCCAACATGGCTTCAAGATTTCTTCAAAATGTTACATCTCTGATTGGATGTTGTTGACAGATTTGATAATCACGTGTAATACCTGATGGTATGTCAACTCATCCTACGACCCTCAGTCTTTGTGCGTCAGTATGTACGCCATTTTGGTGTGGAAGGGGCACTCTTCATATTGGTCATAGACCTTATCCTTATGAATAATCTGTGACACAGGACAACACCTTGGGGTTTGTGACACAGTCCTGTTGTGCGGCATTGCCAAAACCTGCTACCCATGTTATTTCATCATATTCACCTGAGGCCTATATAACAACCTCTAGTGGAGCAGGAGACCATCTGAAAAGAACCAGACTTCACCTTCTAACAACAGAGAAATACTCAGGTAAGCAGCTAAATGGTGAGGATTTTTCAGTATCTTTATTGCCATTTTAAGATTCTATTATCCTATTAATACTATTTTAAGATTCTATTATTATATATTATGCTTATGAGGTTGCCTTATACCGAGTCAGATAATTGGTCTATCAACCCCAGCATTGTCAACAGCAACAGGGTAAAAGACATTATTCTTTCCTAGCCCTACTTGGGATTGATCCGAGAACCTCCTGCTTTCAAGGCATGTAAATTATGACTAAGTGACGTTCCCTCCTTAATAGTGGTGATCACTCCTATTTATGATGTTCAGAATGGCACCACCCCTGATCCAAAGGGGAGGGATCTCGCAGACTAGCATAATTGTCAAACTTTACAGAAATGTGAGCATTCTTTGCAATAGATAAGTACATACAAAATCTTCAAAAGAATACAAATTAGTGCAGTAGTTATGAAAGGTGAACTAATACTAGAAATTAAAATGGGAGGTTGGGAGGAAAGAGGAATAGAATCGATGATCTTGAAGAAAGGCAGTTCGAGCTTTAGCCACCTTCTTCTCTTCTTTGTCTTATTCCTCCTACCCTTCTGTACTATGACTGCTACCAGAGTGAGTAATGTCAGTACTGGAAAACAAAAAGGGTTAGTTGAAACATCATTGTTAACATCATCGTTATCATGAGCCAGACTGGAATTTGGACAGATAAGGATTCATATGTTAGAAATGTACCTTTTAGATTTATTGATTTATTTAGTTATTTACTGCATTTACTGTATTCTCTTAGAATCTTTCCTTCTCTGGACATTTCCTTTTCAAAGCCCCGGAGAGCTAGAATACCATATATACTCTAGTATAAGCCTAATTTTCAGCCCTTTTTTAGGCTGAAAAAATCCCCCTCAGCTTATACTCAAGTCAAGGTTATTTATGATTTTACTCTGTTATTATTATTATTATTATTATTATTATTATTATTATTATTACATTTATTATTTTACTTTCTTATTATTACATTTATTATTTACATTTATTATTTTACTCTATTATTACTCTTATTATTACAATTCCGTTATTTTACTCTTTTTATTATTATTGGAAGGATACCTGAGCACATTTACATTAAAGAAGGCGAGAATAATGGTTTCATCAGAGTCGGACAGTCTTATCTTAAATTACAGTTTTATGTAAATATTCAAAAACATTAAACCTACTGATTAACTAATGTAATTTTATTGGCATCTATTTTCATTTTGAAATTGACCAGGAGCTGCTGCATTTCCCACCCCCAGTTTATACTCGAGTCAATACATTTTCCCAGTTTTGAGGGGTAAAATTAGGTGCCTCGGCTTATACTCGAGTATATATGGTATATACCGTTTCTCTCACCCCTGAGGGGACTCAAAGCAGTGAACCACAACAATGGCAAAATTCAATGCCAGCACACATATAAAAACCAAAGCATAATATCCAAAGGATAACATATAACTATTAAACCATTTAAACCATATTAAACATGAAAAATAACAACATTTTAGACATTAAAACATAGAATTAAAAACATCTTAATATTAACATTAAAATCACATATTCCAAATCATAATCTGAAGCCATTCCAATTGTCAATTGCACATATTTCCTATTTATTTCTTGTACTGCATTTCTTTACTGCCCAAAGGCTTGGTCCCATAGCCATGTCTTTAATTTCTTAATGAAGGCCAGGAGGGAGGGGGCTGGTCTAATTTCACTGGGGAGGGAATTCTAAAGCCAAGGGGCCACTACTGAGATGGCCCTGTCTTTTGTCCCCACCAGTGTCACCTGTGAAGTAGGTGGGACTGAGAGTAGGGCCTCCCCAGAAGATCTTAATCTCTGAGATGGTTCATAGAGGGAGATGCATTTGGATAAACAGTGTCGGAACCATTTAGGGCTTTATAGGCTAAAGCCAGCACTTTGAATTGTGTTTGGTAGCAGATGAGCAGCCAGTGGAGCTGATGCAATGGGGAGGGGGGGGGGTGCTCCCTGTACTCCGCTCCAGTAAGGCATCGGGCTGCCACCCATTGGACCACTTGAGGCTCCAGAACAGTCTTCAAAGGCAACCCCATGTAGAGTACATTGCAGTAGTCTATTTGGGATGTAACAAAAGTGTGGACCACTATGGCCAAGTCTTGCTTCACAAGGTACAGGCGCAACTGCCACACAAGTTTTAATTGTGCAAAAACTCCCCTGGCCACCGCCAAAACCTGGGGTTCCAGGCTCAGTTATGAATCCAGGATTACTCCTAAACTGTGAACCTGTGTTTTCAGGGGGGGGGGGGGGTATAACCCCATCCAACACAGGCTGTACCCTTTTGAGCCTTACGACTGACCAGGAGGACCTCTTCCTTGTCTAGATTCAATTTCAGTTTGTTCACCCTAATTCAGAATGTTACAGCTGAACAGCCTTCTTAGTAGCAGGTGGAAAGGAGTGTTAGAGTTGAGCATCATCTGCATATAGATCAGTTGTTATGACAACTGATACATTATTGTTTTTTAACCTTAGCAATCTGTCTGTAAAATGGCCATAATTAGGGTCTTTTGTTGTTGTTAAGTGACATCAAGTTAACTTCCACTTTAGCTATTTTTAATATGTTGTGTTCTTGCTCAGGTACATTAATGACACTTGAGATCTGAGAGAAGAATACATCTAATGGGATATTCTCTAGTGAGCTCTCTATGACTGTGTAGCCCCAGATACATAGGAAGGTAGGATGTTTTAAAGAAGATGCTATGGAAATAACTTCTATGGAAAAAGCAGAGTTTGATTTATGATCATGCCAGCTGCGGCATTTTGGGAATTGTAACACAACAAAGTAACTCTCCCATATACAGTATCTCTTCTCATTGATGGGTTTTATTTTTTACAGATTAGACTATTTGAGGAATGGATTAATATGATCTCTCTTGAGATTTCTGGTCTGACTCTAGGGTCCTCTTGTCTGACTCTAGGGTCAAAGTCAGCTGGTGTTGACCACAGAGTTGTGTTGGGAGACCTAAAGATTTCTAAAGAGATGGAAAAAAGTTAAAAGTTCAAGTTTTTTTTTAAAAAGCATGTTTTAGTTCATTCTTTTTCTGCTTTTGTGCTTACCTAATCCCAAAGAATATAGAGGGTAAGCTGTACTACACACTTGAACTATTCTATGACTGTCCTGACTGCATTTTGTGCTCTTTTAGGCCAACCAAAGAATGGGATCTTTTGCATACTTGCTTGCCTTCCTGCTCAGTTTCCTGATTTCAGGCCCCTTTGAGGGAGGTGAGTTTCTCCTAAGCTGTTGAAGAAATATATTTCAGCAGGTGTGATAGAAATACTTATAGGCTTAGTTAGCTAGTTCCAACTACAATGGACCAGTCAATTCAATTTCAAATCCCCTGTGTTTCAGTATGTTTACACTGGTTGAGACTCCAACATGGATCGAGTCCATCTTGGGCTGAGAACAGCCTTTGCATATCTAAAATATGTTTGACCTACTTTGGGTTTGCATATAAGAGTAATGAATCCTACCAAGGTATTGTGGTTTATAGGAAAATATTCTCCTCCAAAGTAGTAGTGGGAATCTGGGAGGGAAGTGTAGTGGTTTGAGTATTGCACTATGACTCTGAAGACCAGAGTCTGAAACCACACTTGGCAATGGAAAATTTGAACAAATCATACTCTCTCAACCTCAAAGCAAGGCAAAGAAGACCTCCATGGAGACCCCCGTAGGCTTGCCATATGTTGGAAATGACTTGAAGAACCACAAAAATTGGATTGAGGTCACAATCCAATGTAGTGCTTGAAGTTGTATTGAAATTGTTGGCTCCTCTTCCCTGAATCCTTCTATGAAAACATGTTTTAGAGGGGAGTTGGGCTTCAAGAGTTGGGCTTTATGGCACATGGATGCTGGAAACGGAGAAAAGACATTTATTCTCACATTAATGGAAAACCACAGATGAATAGACTTTTAGGTTTTTATTGGAAAGCAGCACATAGAATCTTGTCAGTAAAAGAAAAAACCTTGGGACGGCTCTGCATGCTATTTAGTTCTCACGCTCCATCTTTTCTTTCCTACTCACCTCTCTTTTGTGCAGCTAAGGCAGATACATGTGCCAGGGAGTGGCTGCAATACCAGGGCAACTGTTATGGATATTTTGAGCAGAAGATGACATGGGAAGAAGCTGAGGTAAGAAGTCAGCAAACTATGCATCTAAAGCAGATTATCGCTAGGTATACAGTTGGTCTTCCCTATTGTGTCAGTGCTAGCTAATTAGTTTCCTCTCCCCCCCCCCCTTTAAGAAAAGATTTATGGCCTTGCTGTGTCGACCAGTGTTCTACTTCTACTTACATCACCCCTGGTGCATAGCTTTGACGTCTTAGCAAAACAACTCACAAATCTGTTCTTTTGAAGTTTCTTGCTAGGTCAAGCTGGCCCTTCTAGAGACTAACTTTTAGGTGCAGAGCAGTGATCAATATCAGCTTGCATTATTGTTTAAGCTATTAGGCAGTTATCAATATACACACAGTGTTGTTTTCAAATAAAAGCAGTAGTTAATACACATTTGCATAGTTTGGTAGCTGCACAGTGGCAAATAGGAAGGTACTTCAAAGAATTACCATTTCTGCATAGCAAATCATTGGTTGCCCTCTCCTCTCTTTGGAAGAACTTTATAATTCCTGCTTCCTACAGAAAGCTCAGAGCATTCTTGGGGATCCATCTCACCTGGCATATAATTGTTTTGAATTATTGATATCTGGCAGATGGTACAGGGTGACAAAGACAAGAACAAACAGATGGAAGGAAAGCTTTTATCCTAGAGCTGTGGCTATGTTGAATTTTGTGGTTTCACATTGATGTGGCATTGGTGTGTGTGTGTGTGTGTGTGTGTGTGTGTGTGTGTGTGTGAAGGGATGGGTGTGTTGTTTTTGGTGTGTGGGGAGGAAGGCATGTAATTTTGTTGTGCAATCGCACAATGACAACAAAAGCTATTCTGATTGACATTGGCCATAGAATGCTTTGGCTAGCTATCTACCATGGAAGGGAACACTACATTGAAAACCTTAATTGTTTTGTGTTTTTGCAGATTGATTGCCAGAGTTACCACCGAGGGGCACATCTTGCCTCCATTCTCACTGTCTCTGAGGCTCTTGTAGCCGCCAATCATATCGCTGCTTACCAGATTGAACCCAGCAACGTATGGATTGGACTGCATGACATCCGACATGTAAGTGTGTAGAGACTGCCATTATGGACATGCTCAGCCAAATTACCCAATATAATCACAGTTCTGTGATGAAGAAACAACAACCAATATTGGGGACTGTTTGTAGTGTATTTTTGGCAGTTAAAGTGGTGTCAAATTACATTAATTCTATAGTATGGAGGCATTCTTGGGCCCTTCCAGGTGGGCACTATATATCCCAGGATCTGATCTCAAGTTTTCCACCTTAAACTCGATTATATGAGTCCACACTGCCAGATAATCCAGGATAAACAGAAAACTTGGGATTGGATCCTGGGATATAGGGTCTGTCTGCAAGGGCCCCTAGAGTTACTTGTTGAATCAATGCCTGACCAATGAATAAATAGACTCACTAGATCAATAGTATTTCTCTCTGTCTTGACGTAGGGAAATCCCCATTGATTCGGTGGATCTACATGAGTTAGGACTAACAATAACGTTCAGGCTTGTGTATGTGTACATTCAAAATATTTCAAAGATAAAACATCACACTGCACTATGGCTCTGCTATAATTGTCATAGCTACATCCAATGGAATCCAGGGTTCATAGTTTAAGGTGAGGCATTAGAAATTACTGGATGTGAATTCTAATTATGTTATCATAGAATCATAGAATTGGAAGAGGCCTCATGGGCCATCCAGCCCAATCCCATTCTGCCAAGAAGCAGGAAAATTGCATTCAAAGCACCCCTGACAGATGGCCATCCAGCCTCTGTTTAAAAGCCTCCATAGAAGGATCCTTCACCCCACTCCAGGGCAGAGAGTTCCACTGCTGAGCAGCTCGCACAGCCAGGAAGTTCTCCCTAATGTTCAGGTGGAATATCTTTTCTTGTAGTTTGAAGCCATTGTTCCACATCCTAGTCTCCAGGGCAGCAAAAAACAAGCTTGCTCCCTCCTCCCTATGACATTTCCTCACATATTTATACATGGCTATCATGTCTCCTCTCAGTCTTCTCTTCTGCAGGCTAAACATGACCAGCTCTTTAAGCCACTCCTCATAGGGCTTGTTCTCCAGACCCTTGATCATTTTAGTCACCCTTCTCTGGACACATTCCAGCTTGTCAATATCTTTAAATTGCAATTATCCTAAATTGCAACTCTCAGGAACCTACACAGTACAGCCATGGTAGATAAGTGGAATTATAATGCAATCGTTATGTGTGAAAAGGCTCCTGGAAGCTTCCAGGAGTTGTCATCCACCTTTGCTTTCAGAAAAAAATGAATAAAAATGAAAAATGAATACAGTTTTAGGTTAGATGTGTCCACTAAGAATTACACTTCTCACCCACCACTTGCAGGGTGGCCCCCACCACTTTCTTCTCATGATGTTGCAACTATTGACCAGTGGCCTGGTGGTCCTTTGTCTTGGTCTCCTGCTGCTCTCTCTTTACCTCTGGTACAAAGATGGAAGATTTGCATTTCGACTTCACTTCACTCCCCATTTCCTGTCACTTGGCCTCCAGCCCCTTGCTTTGGTCCTCAAGCTGCTGCTGTGCACTTTCATTCTTCTGGGTGTTGCTTCGTTCTACGTTCAGGTCTGTGTTTTTCTTGTTGAGCCAAAGGCTTTCTTTCAAGGAGTCATCATTTCCCACTATGCATTTTTCTCCAATTCTTCCTTCGGTGACCTGTCTGAGATTTTCGGCATTGGTTTTCATTTAGGACCAGAAATCTCATGAAATCTCATAGCTGACCCATCCCATTTTGAACCCAGTGCTTGTTGTGTTCAGTCATTTCATGTTTCTCCTGTGTTAGAGCCTCCAGGTTCTTCAACTCCTTTTCATTCTCTTTAGCTTGTTCCAGTATTTCTTCCTCAAAGAAACAGATGCCATCTAGTGCTTGAATTCAGCATTGCAATGTTTTAAGCTGTTTGATTGCTTCATCATATAGAGAATTTGCAAAGTTGTATTGACCTCCAGACTCTTCATTAGTCTTGTGCATTTGTATAGAATTGCTATCTGTTTCTGTTTGTTTCATTCATAAGCTTGCAGTTTTTTGTTTTCGAATGCCTCTGAAAAATGCGCGCCTTTCCAAATGGTTGTTTTTGTTCCGTATCCAAAAAAATGAATTTTTTCAACACATCGGCCACTATGGGCCTGCTTCCCCAGGCTCCTTTTCCCCTCAGTTTTAGGGCTAGAGGGGTGAAAATCACTACACATGAAGGACACATCTACCACTTTAAGTGCACCAAGTTTTATAATGTTTGGGTCATCCCCTGATTTTTAGGGATTTTTCTTTCTATAAATAAAATCCCCATTAAAGAAATTCCCTCTTTCCCTCGCTGACCCGACCCTCTAACATCTCCAGGAGCAGCAGCAGGAGGAAGACTGGGCAGGGCTGGATTGAAAGCATCAGAGATAATAATAATAATAATAATAATAATAATAATAATAATAACAATAATAATACTTTTGTCATGTCAGGAGCAACCTGAGAAACTGCAAGTTGCTTCTGGTGTGAGAGAACTGGCCATCTGCAAGGACGTTGCCCAGGGGATGCCCGGATGATTTGATGTTTTATCATCCTTGTGAGAGGCTTCTCTCTTGTCCCCGCATGAGGAGCTGGAGCTGATAGAGGGAGCTCATCCGCCTCTCCCCGGATTTGAACGTGTGACCTGTCGGTCCTCAGTCCTGCTGGCACAGGAATTTAACCCACTGCACCACCGAGAGCTCCAATAATAATAATAATAATAAACTTTATTTACACCCCCACCACCATCTCCCCGAAGGGGACTCAGGGCGACTAACATGAGTCTAAGCCCAAAATTACAACTAAATACAATACAAGAACAGCAAAATAAAATACAAAAAGCAAAAATACCATCAAGTTACTTAAGATACTACTTCTCCTTTAATGCTTTCCCTCCTTTAATGCTTTCCCTCGGTCTGCAGAAGAGAACTGGGTTTAAAGACAAGGCAGGCAAGGTGGAGGGCTCAGAGGGAAATAGCATGTGGTAATTCCCTGTGGGGCATGTGAGGAGCACCACGTGTCCCAAAAATCAGGCAAGGAAATGGTACCTGCTCCCACTTTCTTTCGTTTCAAGCTTATTTTCATTCCAAAGGAGGGATTCCCATTATGGGCTCCCACCCAAAATGAAATGAATGAAAGAATGGATGAAATGGGAGAAACAAGTACCGTGTACACCTCTACTCTTGATGCATATTTTGGGCCACCATAACGATGGAGGAATAGTTTCTCTCATCTACATGCTTTACCTGAACCTCTTTCATCACCTGTTTTCATCATGAGCCCATGAGATCCAATTCGAAATTTTCCTTCAAAGCTCCTGGTTTATTTCCAAACCAGAGGAAAGAGGTTATTTTAAAGAAAATTACTTCCAGTCCTTATTCTAAGGCTCCAAATATATTGATGAGATGATGATCTTTATTTATAGAATAACAGAATAATAGCAATTTATAGAATAATAGCAACCAAAACAACAGAAAATCGTAATACAACAACATCATGAAGTATATAATTTTGTGCTGGGATAAAATATTATACATAAGAGGCAAAAAAAAAAAACTAGCTCCTATTAATAACCATTACAAAATCCAGTTGCTATTGCATTTTTAATGTTACAGTTGCAATTTGTACTTCCCTATTTCTCAAAAATAACAGAAGTAGTTACATTTAGTTCTTTAAAAACAGTTTTAAATAATACAAGCTGCTGGCTTGTGATATAAAAATATATCTCTCCCCCCCCCACCTTCCACCAAATTATTGCCAGAAGATCCACAATGGAGCATGATGAGGAACATAATGGGACAATTCCTGAACTATGGGGTATTTCTCCTCTACAATTTAGTGAGGCCATATCCTCTAACTAAAAATGTAAGTAACCACAATCATAATCTCACATAGTTTATTTTTTCCCTTTCCCCCACTCTCCCTCCCCCCAGAGCCCACAGTGGTGAAATGGGTTAAACTCTTGTGCCAACAGGACTGCTGACCAAAAGGTCAGTGGTTTGAATCTGGGAAACAGGATGAGCTCCCATCTGTCAGCTCCAACTTCTCATGTGGGGACATGAGAGAAGCCTCCCACAGGATGGTAAAACATCCGGGCATCCCCTGGGCAATGTCCTTGCAGATGGCCAACTCTTTCACACAAGAAGTGACTTGCAGTTTCTCAATTCAGTCCTGACACACACACAAAAACTCCTATCTCCCTCTTTTCCGTGGCACTTGAGCAAGAATTACAGACCCAGCACTGAGTACTACCTTTGCTCAAATCTTTTCCTTTTCTTTTTTTCCATCTGGAGAATGGAAAGTGGAGATGGTCAGATGAGTCTACTTACAATTACAAAGCATGGATGACTGGCAGGCCAGACAACTATGGAAAAAATGAATACTGTGTTGAGCTGGTATACTTCGCAAATAAGGCAGCTCTTCCTGATGGCGAGGAAAGACAACAAGCTGCAGAACGTGTCAGCCCTCTTAGTTTCTCTCATCACATCAAGCTTCAAGGTAACAAAACAAAACTCTAAGTAACTGTCTGAATGGAGGCCTTCCAAGTAAATGGCATACAACCTACTAAATCTACACAGTAGTAAACGTCCAAGAAAGTGATATGCCTTACAGTAGTGGCACATAACAGCAGTCCAGAGTACAAAATGAAGGAGAAGAATTATCTGAGAGAAAGAGGACTATGGGTAGGTGCCAGAGAGGGCAAGGAACCCATTTCTAGCCTCAACATCTCTTGACTAACAAGGCCTGATCCAGGTCTTGATTGTCAAGAGATGCTGAAAACATAGACTCTGAAATTGTTGGGGTTTTGGGATGCAGTCTCCATGAACTACCCTCTGCTTCCACTTCCTAGGGCTTATTCTTTTGCAAACTCATACTAAAATGTGAGTTCATTTTGTTGATTGAAGCAAAGATGTTGTTTATTATCACTATACCATGAGGGAAAGGCACTTTATCTTACTGATACCCTGACATTGGGATTGAATGTTCCATCACACCTAGGTCACAGTGGTCACACTTGAGATACATCACATGGGCCTCCAATAGAAGGGAAGATGTAAAGTACTATGGAGGAACAGTCTGAAGGTTGCTACAGTTCCATTTAAGACTGTTGATTTACTCTGCCCAATGCAAGGGCAGACCTGCAGACTGAGAGGCAACAGAACACTCAGCTCCATGTCAGAAGATAATTCCTTCCAAACTTCTCTAGTCTTTTGAAAGGAGGCAACGTTTACAAAAAACAGCCTGATTTAAGAGGAGAGCTGATCAAATCACAGAGCATATAGTCAGGCTACAAATGCAGGACCTTGGACAGCAATAAGCAGCAAGCAGGACACAGCTATAGCTTTAGAGTTCTTTGAAGCAAGATCTACACTGCCTTATATCCCAGGATCTGATCCCAGATTATCTGCTTTGAACTGGATTATATGAGTCTACACTGCCAAATAATCTGGGATTAAGCAAATAATCTGAGATCAGATCCTGAGATATAGGGTAGTGTAGATCTAGCCTGAGTAAACTTTTCTGCTTGGTGCTGTCCAAGGTACTGAAACTCTAGCCTGACCTTGCATGTCATCTGATGGTCTAATACACCCTTAAGTCTCTGTTGAAATCTAAGAGCCATTTTCAATATTAAAAAAGAACACCCCCATGCATCATTTAGTCCTTATTCCATTTTTTCTGTTTAGATAAAAAGTACAAAACTGAAGAATCTACTTGATGTGGTTTGGATGATTTGAGTGGCAGAATGATTTGGATTAGGGCAGTGGTTCTCAACCTGTGGGTCCCCAAATGTTTTGGCCTTCAACTCCCAGAAATCCTATCAGCTGGTAAACTGGGATTTCTGGGAGTTGTAGGACAAAGCACCTGTGGGCCCACAGGTTGAGAACCACTGGATTAGAGAATGGAACTATATGGTGTAAGATGATAGCACTGTTATTTGATTTGTATGTGTGTATGTGTTTCTTTTCCTAGTTTAGTTAATTGGTTTCTGATTCTGTGAAAGTATTGTAGTTCCACCCCATAAGAGATTTTTTTTTCTTTTTTCCGTACAGGTTTCACAAAATGGAATGATGCCCCATGCCAAAGACTGAATGGCTACATCTGCAAACATGAACTATAGAAGAAATCATTGATTTATCTGTGCCTGTAAGACACAAAGGATTGAAATGAATGGGATATTTTGCATTTCCAGCACATCTTGTAGGCCTGCATGTTGAAAGGAGAGGCATTCCATCCAAGTGGCACCTTCTACCCCTAAAGAGTCTTCAGGCAGAAATAGCAATGTTTTAAACAATTTTCTTGGAACTTTGTGATAATTATAGATATAACATTCTTAGCATCCTTATCAAACTGCAATGCCCCATGTGACCTCGGGGCAAGGGTGATGGTGAAGGGCTAGTTTAAAAATGGTGCTAGACTATATGACTATAAAACTATATGTGATATGGATATGTCAGCTAAAATGAAGCCTTTCTCTTCTCTTCTCTCTCTCTCTCTCTATATATATATATATATATCCACATTATTTTAATTGCTGTAGAGCTAATGAACTTGCAAATAAAATAGCTGATGAGCATGGAGTTTCTAATGTGCTTTCCCCCCTTTCTTTGGAATCTATTTCGATAAGATGGCCCTTGTGGTCTCTTCTAACTCTATGAATGATCTCTCACACACTTTTCCTGGTTCACATTTCAGAGTTCTGTGCACTGGGGCAGGAATTCTTCATTCAGAGAATATTATCTGCCTTTGTAAATAAATTATACAAGTGAAGTTTTAAAATGCAAAAATCCATGAAGAAGGCAGTGGGGTCACCAGGGTTGGTGTCACCCACTGCAGTAATAATACACTTTATTTATATTACGCTCTATCTCCCTGAAGGAACTCAAAACAGATTACAGTGTACACATATATAGGCCAACATTCAATGCCTTTTTATAAAGTGAACAATGACATACAATACACAAACAAAGGCAAAGGTTTCCCTTTCCATCTCTGGCATCTGGAGGTGATGTTCAACTCTGGCCATGGGGAGGCACACTTGTTCCCTTTTTCCATGACGAGGAACCTGTTGTCCATAGATCCTCCTGTGTTGGCAGAATGGCTACATTGGTGCCTTTTACCTTCCTGCCAAGGTTGTACCTGTTGATCTACTCACATTACATGTTTTCGAACTGCTAGGTTGGCAGAAGCTAGGGCTAACAGGGGGAGTTCACCCCAACCTGCAGCTTCGAACTGCCAACCTTCCAGTCAGCAGTTTTCCTGCAGCTAGTGGTTTAACCTGCTGTGCTACCGCAGCCCTTTAGGTCCATAGAGGTAGTAACTCATGGTGCAACCCCTACGGACCTCCACCTGTTACCAGATCATATCACAATACTGTAGCTAAAATACCAGATTTCCATGTATCTATATTATCTCTCCTCCTGTATCTTGGGGTTGTACATATGCATGCATGTAGATATGAACACATGTAACATCCAGTTCCGTGCTCTTAATGCTGCTTGGAGACCATAGCAGGAACAACTGTAGCAAAGTGAGGTCAGTCTGCAAGAAGCAGGGAAAGATCCAGAAATCCAACCCAATCATCTTCTAGAAATGTATCTCTAAGCACCCAGAATTGCAAAATAGGTCAATATTTCCCTTAATCAAAGAAAACCAAACACATTGGCTTTGGCATACAGTTGGAAAAACACAAGCAGCTTCTGCTGGAGAAGGATTTTAAACATATCTGTCATTTAAAGAAAAGCGGGGGAAATCAAAGAATGACCTCATGACACACAGGAGCCACGGTGGCACAATGGGTTAAACCCTTGTGCTGGCTGAACTGCTGACGTGAATGTTGGCAGTTCAAATCCATGAAATGGGGTGAACTCCCATCTGTCAACTCCAGCTTCTCAGGCAGGGACATGAGAGAAGCTTCCCACAGGGTAGTAACACAACCAGGCACCCCCTGGGCAACATCTCTACAGATTACCAATTCTCTCACACCAGAAGTCCTACATTTTGGGCTTCAGCTAACCCAATCCCATATCATGGGCTTTGACTGCAATAGACTTTTGGGAGATGAACATCATAGAATTATAGAATCAAAGAATTGGAAGAGACCTCATGGGCCATCCAGTCCAACCCCCTGCCAAGAAGCAGGAATATTGCATTCAAATCACCCCTGACAGATGGCCATCCAGCCTCTGTTTAAAAGCTTCCAAAGAAGGAGCCTCTACCACACTCTGGGGCAGGGAGTTCCACTGCTGAATGGCTCTCACAGTCAGGAAGTTCTTCTTCATGTTCAGATGGAATCTCCTTTCTTGCAGCTTGAAGCCATTGTTCCTTGTCCTAATCTCCATGGAAGCAGTAAACAAGCTTGCTCCCTCCTCCCTGTGGCTTCCTCACACATATTTATACGTGGCTATCATATCTCCTCTCATCCTTCTCTTCTTCAGGCTAAACATACCAAGCTCCTTAAGCCACTCCTCATAGGGCTTGTTCTCTAGACCCTTGATCATTTTAGTCGCCCTCCTCTGGACACATTCCAGCTTGTTGGAATGTGTTGGAGGACCAAGCTCTCCACCTGTAACCTACTGTGAATGACAAGGAGTCATGGGGTTGTTTGCATTAGACATCACTTTGAGCTTCTTAAATGCACTTTATTTAAAACCTTCTATAAAAACAATGCACCTATGTGGAAAACATGCAGGTAGTTTCTGTGCCTCAATTAAATTAATTATTGTGCTGTGAGAATTTAAAAAATGTTATAATCCATTCTAATTAAAGTCCCGGGACTTTGCTACCCCATTTTTCTGTACAAGGCACAGGAGCCAAAGGAAGAGTTGGTATATCAGTTCCCTATAGCTCTTGCTGGCTATGCATATAATAATTAAAAAAACAGAAATAGAATCAGCTTTGGAAAGTAGAATCACAGAAGAATGATCTACAACAGAGGACTGAAGTGTGGATTGCATGGAGATGTTCAGTCCCCTTTTCTAGGTGACTCAGTTCCATTTTCATATCCACGTGGTTTCCTTTCCTTACCTCTCAATAACCAATCAGCATTTCAAGGTCATTGAGCATTCTCAGTTCTCACTGTGCTCTTCTGGGCTGCCCTCCTTTTGTTGAGACTTCTTTCTTACTTTTTTTTTTTTTGCTACTTCTGCAAACCTTTACATGGTTGGAGTAGAAACCTGTGTGGGAATGGTGCTATTATAAAAAGCCCTGGTTTGAGTCCAAGTTACCTACAGGATCACTTTCTCCTGCACAATCCTTGAGTCTCCATAGGGAAATAAGCAGGGAATGAATCACCACCACCACCACCATAATCATAGTCATCCGCCCTTAAGGCACTGAGGACCTCTGGTGGGCGGCTACTCCAGCCAGTCAGAACCCGACTGGCAACTGTCATCTAGAGGACCTTTTCATCAGCTGCCCCATGAGTGTGGAATGACCTGCTGGAAGAGCTCTGACAGTTAAACAAACTCTCAAAATTTAAAATGCAAGTGAAGACCTATAGCTTCTGGCAGACCTACCTGGTCAACTTTCAATCATGAGTTTTGATTTACATTCTATTGCCACTATATGTAAAATCTGCAGCTGTGTTTGGTGTAAATTTTCATATATATAGATAAATAGATATTGATGGAATTAATGTCAGGCTGTCGAATAAAAAAAAGCAAACTCTCCATTCCATTGAGTGAACTGTGGAGAACTTTCATAACTCAATGAGCATTCCACTGCACTGAAAGCCAAGTTAAGGTCAAGGCCTGGGATTAGAACTGAGAGCCAATGCAGTCTAGTGATCTATATGCTTTGGTTCCAACCTATCTTTGAGATGACATCTCCTTCTATGAACCGGTGTGGGCCCTGAGACCTTCCAGGGAGGTGCTTCTTTCAGTCCCACTACCATTTCAGGTACGGTTGGTGGAGACGAGAGAGAGGGCCTTCTTGGTGGTGGCTCCCCAGCTCTAGAATGCCCTCCCTAGAGAGATTAGGTTAGCCCCAACTCTCCAAACTTTTGGTCTAGCCTAAAAACAAGGCTTTTTAAATGGGCCTTTGACCATATAACTATAGTTTTATGTGATGATGACCATTTATTAATTTTAAAATTTAGTTTTTTATCATTTCATGTTGTTTGTTGTTTTGTTTTCAGTCAAATTTTGTGTCCTGTTTTTATGCTATGTAATTCAGTTTTATGTGTGGCACCTTGGAATGCTTTTGTGAGCCACCCCAAGTTCTTCAGGGAGATGGTAGTGGGGTATAAATAATAATAATAATAATAATAATAATAATAATAATAATAATAATTATTATTATTATTATTATTAGAAACACAACAAGATGAGTCCACAGCAGACAAGATCACTCTGCTGGCTGTTGTATTGGACCACACATCGGACACTTCCTAAGTGTCTAGGACTGTGATTGTTGTCGTTGTTGTTGATATCATATATCTGAGCATTGAATACCACTCTGGAGAGCAGGGTATAAATCCCTTCTTGGTCATGGAGACTCACTGGGTGACTTTGGCAAAGTCACATTTGTTCAGCCTCAGAGGAAAGCAAAGGAAAAACCCCTCTGAACAAATCTTACCAAGAAAACCCTGTGATTGGTTCTCTTTAAGGTTGTCATTTGTCAGAAATGGCTTGGAGGCACGTATCAACAACAATTAACATTTTAAATGAGTATTCTGTTGTTCCTCAAAACACGGAAACTCCGTTTCCCTTGAATGGGTCCAACCTATTCACAAGCAGAGCATGTCATTGGTGCTTTGCTGTGTCATAATTCATTGAAAAACAACATAGGGAACATCCTCCTCCATAGGGTACAATTGTTTTAAAATGAAGACATTACTTTCAAAATTCAGTACACTTACCTGGAAATTTTCTAGTTTTTTTTAATCCCCACTATACAGCTCATGGCTGAAATTTGGAGTAAAGGTGACAATACCACCGGCTCTTTGCTTTTGGGTAGATTCTACAATGAAACAAGTGGAAGCAAAATTATTCTTTCAAGTAGCAGCATTTGTTCAGTTTGGCTGCTATTGGCCATGTTTTGTAGGCATAATAAAACCAAACATTGTTTTTGACTTGCCATTAGATAGAGTTGGATTCTTATTTCAACAGTTCAGCTAAATTGATTAGGCAAAATGATGACGGCGACGACGACGACGACGACGACGACGACGACGACGACAATAATAATAATAATAATAATAATAATAATAATAATACACATGTTGTTGAAGGCTTTCATGGCCAGAATCCCTGGGTTGCTGTGAGTTTTCATGAGTTTATGCCCATGTTCCAGAAGCATTCTCTCCTGACATTTCACCCACATCTATGGCAGGCATCCTCAGAGGTTGGGAGGTCTATAATAATAATAATGCATTTTATTATCCCCTGATGGCCTGAGGTGGAGTACAGTAAGTCCAAAAACAAGTGAACATAAAAATACAATAAATTATTAAATCACAGAGATAAACACACACACACACACACACACACACACATATATGAAAATTAACACCAAAGACAGCTACAGAATTGACATATAGTGGCAACAGAATGCAAATCAAAACTCATGATTGAAAGTTGACTGGTAATCCTGCTGGAATCGATAGCCTTTATCAACTGGTGTTCAGAACATTTTTGATATTATGGCCAGTTAGAAGATAATGACACCCTAACCTAAACCCAGTAAGGGAACAATGCTGGAAAGCCAGCACAATCTAACTCTCTGTCCTTTTTTCACAGCCATAAATTCCTTACCAAACACAGTTGTATTTTCTAGTAAGTCATGCCATCTCATGATTAGTTCAAAGTACAAGTTTCAGTTTAGCTATTTTGACTTTTGGACAGAGTACAGACTGACCCCAGTGACTCAGTGGGTTGAACCACTGAGCTGCTGAACTTGCTGATCATAAGGTTGCAAGTTTGTATTTAGGGAGCGGTGTGAGCTCCTGCTGTTAGCCCCAGCTCCTGCCAACCTAGCAGTATGAAAACATGCAAATGTGAGTAGATCAATAGGTACAGCTCCAGTGGGAAGGGAACAGTGCTCCATGCAGTCATGCCGGCCACATGACCTTGGAGGCATCTACGGACAACTCTGGCCCTTTGGCTTAGAAATGGAGATGAGCAGCAACCCCTAAAGTTGGAGACAACTAGATTTAATGTCAAGGGAAACCTTTACCTTTTTTTTTTATCAGACTTGATAGTTCGTAACTAGTTAATTGTATTGGATGTTTCCAAGCCCTGCAAAAACCAACATAATGTGGCATCATCATCATCATCATCATCACACTTTATCTCTCTACAATGAGTCCCAAAGTGGCTAACACTAAAAGCAATACAATGTTTATCCTAAGTTGGTAACCATAGGCATGAATAAAGAAAAAAATAAATGTCACCAGAGAAGTCAGAGATAAATGAAATGAAAAATAAAAAAGCTCCCAAACAAAAACAAAACCAGATTGTGACAACCTGATAAACCTTACATTCTCTATGAATACAGTGAGAAACCACAAAACAATGTTGGCGAAAACACATACACTGGTAAATTAATTTCTATCTGTAAAAGGATAATTGATTATTTTTGGCAAGCCAGCCTGAAAGATAGGTACTTTCAGTAATTTGTCAATGGAACCGTGATAAAAATCAACCCTTCTGTTGGCTGGCCCACCTGTTGTGTAATTTTGCCAATAGCAGAACAAGACATTTCCTTATACCTCTTGCCTTGAATATTACATAATGTCCACCTGCAGTCTATATTACAAACCATGGATCAGGAGATTATCCAAGAGCTCACCAAACTCAGCCAACAGTCTTTGCCCATTTTCCAAGGAGTGGAGACCAGCAAAAGGACTCAGGTGAGCAGGTAATTTTGGCCCAAGGGCCAGGTATTGCTCAATGAAATATGGTTGGGTTTCAGTTTTGGAAAGATGGTTTCTAGATGTACCATGTGATGTGAAGTAATATTATTTGACATCCATCCCAAATTAGGACATGCCAATTGATTTAACCAAGACTAAGTTTATCAACATACATTTAGGTGTGCAATCAGGATAAGAAACAGAGAAGCATGGTGGCTATGGGTTTCAAATCTTATATCCCAGCTTATAGATATAGATATAGGTAAAGGGTTTCCCCTGACATTAAGTCCAGTTGTGTCCAACTCTGGGAGTTGGTGCTCATCTCCATTTCTAAGCTGAAGAACCAGCATTGTCCGTAGACACCTCCAAGGTCATGTGGCTGGCATGACTGCATGGAGCACTGTTACCTTCCTGCTGGAGCAGTACTTATTGATCTACTCACATTTGCATGTGTTCGAACTGTTAGGTTGGCAGAAGCTGGGGCTAACAGCGGGAGCTTACCCCGCCCCCAGATTCGAACTGCCAACCTTTCGGTAAGCAAGTTAATCAGCTCAGTGGTTTAACCCACTGTGCCACTGGGGACTCCTCAGATATATATATATATATATATATATATATATATATATATAATATATATATATATATATATTCACATGTACAAGCTATGTAGTTATGGAAGATCCATGCCAAAAATCAGTAGTTGCAACCAGAAATCAAAAATTTCACTCTCCCTCTTAGAGAAAGGTGGTACATAGGTGTATGGCTTAAGAACACAGAAAGGCTCCTAATAGCAAGTGAGAATAGAAATGGGGAACCCTAATCTTCTCCAGTTGTTGATGGGCTACAACTGTCATGATCCCTGACCTTTAAATAATGCTGATGTGGGACTGATAATACGTGACTTCAGAAGTTTGGTTATTTTTAAATGTAACTCAAGTGCTTACTCAATGCTCAAAATACAAGCCGTTCCTCAGAATATAAGGGAGATCACTTTCTTATGAAATCTGGCTACCAGTATTAAAAAACTCAAAAATTATAACAGCTAAACAACAGAGAGGAAAAAACCAGGCACAGATTAACACCTCCCAGCAACAGATTTTCCCAGACTCAGGCAGGCCTTCAAATGCTAATGAAGGTGATCAGCTAAACATTCACACCTAACTGCAGCAGGGAAGAGCTCCTTGCCCCACCCCAGCCATTCCACAGATATATAAGCCCATTTTTCCTACTTCCAACAGACCTTCTCAGCCTCTGAGGATGCTTGCCATAGATGCAGGCGAAACGTCAGGAGAAATGCCTCTAGAACATGGCTCTATAGCCCGAAAAAACCCACAAGAACCTAGTGATTCCAGCCATGAAAGCCTTCGACAATACACTTTCTTATGCTTTGTGTCTGTCCTAATTTGGTGAGATTTTGTGGCACCCCCATGGGCTTCAAGGTTCATTTTAAGGGAAAGAAAGGCATAAGAATGGTTGAATGGATGCACTGGACTTTTGATTGGTTAGGATTTACTTAAACTTTCAATACTTGGGTCCAAGTCATCATCTCACTCTCTGGTTAACTGTACAATAACTTCTGTCTGCTGCAATTCTAGCTCTTGCAATACACTTCTGGTCTGCCTGGGCAATGACATTTAAATATGTATGCCTTTGTTGTAGATTGCTTCTCCCTGACATTGTATCTTCCAATACTTATGTTCTTCTGGTTTCTTCTCTGTTTGTCTCCTCCTCCCAGCTGAACCAAGAAAATGAGGCATTTTACTTACCCGAGTGTCTTTCTGATCAGCTTTCTGATGTCAAGCTTTTTACTGAGAGGTGAGTACATCTGGAAGTTCCCAGTAGCGGCGAAGCAGGACATTAGAGGAAATACAATATTATGATATATTATGAGGGCATTGTTAAAGTGGGCACCAACCACAAGCGTCCATGCTCCAGGTCTATAGTTGGATGGATATAAGAGATAGTTGGGTCAAACTGAGATGCTAGATCTGGAAACATGAGACCATTCATAACTGTGGTTTGGAGTAGAAACCAATCTTTCTTTCTATTTCCGTTTTGAACAGTTAAGGCTGACACCTGTGCCAGGCAATGGCTACAATACCAGGGCAACTGCTATGGATACTTTGACACTAAGATGACCTGGCCAGAGGCTGAGGTGAGAGACTACTTCTCATGAGGCCTTGCCTACCACAGCCCACAGTTAGTGATAATGTCTAGTTCTTGCAAATCCAAATTGGAGACTCTTTCTCTGCTTCCTATCTCTCAAGTTAGCTTTGATGATAATGAGCCAAGAGGATAAGAAGTTAATTGTTGTTGTGTGCCTTCAAATTATGTCTGACATATGACAATCCTAAAGTGAACCTCTAATGATAGAAGAACATCCTCTACCTCTGTGGAGAGCACCAAGCTATCATAGGGGTTGTCGGAAAAAAACCTGAAACAGAAAACTTTTTTTCCACAAGAGAATGGAACAGCCTTCTTTGCAAGACCCATCCTGAAGCAATTTCTTCATTCAATCTACAAGGGATGAATGAAAAGTAATGCCTCCACCTTGGTTACTTGGGTTTGGATGGGAATATTTTAATAAATCAAATGCAGAAATAATCCTTAGAATGTGCTCTTTAACTACCACTATTCAATTTTCCACATAATCACCAGACAATTGGATACATTTCTGCCAACGATGAACACGTTTTTTGAAGCCATCACGGAAGAAGTCGACATTCTGTTTATGCAACCAGTGTCTCACAGTTCTCTCAATATCTTCATCAGAAGCATAATGATGTTCCCACAGATCTTATTTCATTATCAGGAACAGATGGAAGTCAGACGATGCTAAATCTGGTCTATATAGAGGATGCTGTACGGTGGTGAAATCCAGTCTCTGAAGTTCTGCTGTCAACCTTTTGCTTGTGAAACTCGGTGGTTGCTGTCACAGGACGTCCAACTCTTTGTTTGCCATGCAAGTCAAATGTTCCCACCTCAACATCTTTAAACTTACTCACCCAACAATGCACAGTACTCACATCAATACAATCACCATAAACAGCTTGCATTCTCTGATGAATCTCCTTTGGGATGACATCTTCTGCTGTCAAGAATTCAATGACTACACATTACTTAAGTTGCATTGATCAACCATCTGTGCAGGGTTCCATACATCGCACTTTAACAACACAACTGTTCAATGCTAAGGATTCCCACCAAAATGGAACTGTAGAACCTACTGAACAAGCCAATACCTGTCACATACCAATACTGCCATCTGTTGAAGAGTTATGAAGGTGGAGGCATTACTTTTCATTCAACCCCTGTACTGCTAGAACTGGCCCTAACATAGTCACTAATGTTTAGCTTTAAGATATAGCCATTTTTGAAAACTAGTTTTGTTTCAGGCACTTTTTTGGCACTTTTTGGCTCTCTGTATAGTCTCTAGAGCAGTGGTTCTCAACCTGTGGGTCCCCGGGTGCTTTGGCCTTCAACTTCCAGAAATCCTAAAAGCTGGTAAACTGGCTGGGATTTCTGGGAGTTGTAGGCCAAAACACCTGGGGACCCACAGGTTGAGAACCATTTCCCTATAGAGTCTCAGAAGCAATAAATGGACCTTTAGCCTTTCCACCATTTCTAACTCCGACAAGAGCAAAATGATGCACCATCTCCTACACCTTATGTCCTTCTTTTTTACCAACTTGTGCCGATGTGACTACATTTTTGACGTAAGCCCCCTGTGTCTCAGTTTCCTCAGTGAAATGTTGGAGAATTTGTTATTACAATCCCTGTGATGCAAGAAGGGGAGAAGTGGGAGAAATTGCCTCTCTGTGGCAATCTTGTGAAGTTCAGACAGGGCTGAGATTTCCTCTTGAGAATGTCTTTCTTCTCTACCTTTAAAAACAAAATTACTTCTTTAAACAAATGAAGCAGGCCAGTTTCAAATGCCTTGTCTTTTTTTGTCCGTGCCCAGATTGAGTGCCAAACTTACCAGCGTGGGGCCCACCTTGCCTCTCTTCTCAGCCATGCTGAGATCCTGGTGGTGGCCAACCATATCTCTGCTTACCAGACTGAAGTCAGTGATGTCTGGATTGGACTGCATGATATCCGACACGTGAGTATGCCACCTCTCTTTTTACTTTTGTGACCCTGTCAAAATCTTCAGTGTACAACCAATACCTTTTCCCTTTATTGCATCTGGCGCTTTTAACATAGACACCATTTTATCTGGCATGGCTTAACACTAGGGAATAATGGGAATTGTAGCTTTCAAAGACTCTAGCCTTCTCTGCTGTGGCTTCAGTTCCTAGCATTGAGTTGGGGCAATGAAATTGGGTTCAAACTGCATTAATTCTCCAGCCTTTGCATAGGTTGTAACTTGCTTTTCCTTCAGCCCAAAACTTTGCTTCTGTTTTAATTTCTCTTCCCACTCTACAGAATGGGAGGTGGAGATGGTCAGATGAATCTACCTACAACTACAAAGCGTGGATGATGGGTGCTCCGAACAACCTGGAGAAAAATGAGTACTGTGTTGAGCTGAAGCATTCTGTAGCAGGGACCCCTGCCCCTGTCCTCGGGATCCTGGAACAAAGAGAAATAAGAGACCGCCATCTCAACTTACTAAGTCGAAATTGCCTTTCAGAAGAAAGACTTCGCAATGAGCCAACAGGTGAAAATTATTTGAGACCATCCAGAAAGATGCCTCCCACCATCCAGTTACATTTTGGGCACTCTCTCATAGGGTTGCTGCCTCTATAGGACCCCCTTATCCCAGGGCTGATCCAGAGTGGCAAATACTGGATAGGACCTGGGATGGCTTCGACCACCAGCTCCCTGGCCACTGTGGAGGTGGGAGGGAGTCCTGACCATCCAGTGGTGCTGAACCTGGTTCATCCTCTTCCCATTCCTATTGTTGCAGTGACCAATGGGCACAAATGGCTTGCAACATCTCCTTGGGCACCAGAGAGGAGGAATTATCTCCTCTTCCCTCTTTCCTTTTCCAATCACATCATCTGTCTGGCTAGTGTCACTCTAGGCCAGTGGTTCTCAACCTGGGGTCCCCAGATGTTTTTGGCCTACAACTACCAAAAATCCCAGCCAGTTTACCAGCTGTTAGGGTTTCTGGGAGTTGTAGGCCAAAACAACTGGGGACCCACAGGTTGAGAACCACTGCTCTAGGCAATGAGCAATGCACACTGGCCATGTCATGCCTGGTGGCCACTGTGACACCAAGAGTGGGAGGGGAATCCTATGTCTCTGGGCTGCCTGGACCTGGGGAATATGGGATGGCCATGTAAATCATCATGGTCAGTTCCATCTTGGAAACAGTCCAACCATTTACAGGGGTCAAAAGGCACCGTTTGCTCTCAATTCTGGGAATATGGAGTACCTGGCAACTTTTCTTAATGTGGTTCAAGACTGCGTCAACTCAAAACAGCTGCATGCATTGTGCAGTTGCCACAGAGCTGATTCATACCCCCAACACACACACACACACACCTTTTAAGAGTAAAGAAACAGTGCAAATGTGCCCCTAGATTTTTGATGAATAGAACCCTCCTCTGTATATGCAGTTTGGCACCACTCTAACTGCCATGGCTCAATGCTATGACATTCTTGGAGTTACAATTTGTTAAAGTACCATCACTCTTCAGCAGAGAAGACTGTGTGGACTTTGTAAAATCACAGTATAGAATCCCTTACCATTGAGCCATAGCAGTCCAAGTGGCATCAAACTGAATTAATTCTACAGTGTAGACGCAGTCTTGGAGATTTTCCATAAAGACCTCAAAATGTGGATGTTCTAATGTGTTTTTGATTAATCAGTTCACTAGATAATTTTGGCCCCTCTAGCCATAACTTAATACTGGCTCTTGCACTTTACCATTGTCCTGCCCTTTAGTTGTATTGCTCTAATTGACTTGGAACTCCTAGCCCAAACTTATCATCTGGCTCCTGCACTTTTCTATCAGCCCTGTCCTAGCAACTGTATTGCACAAGCCCCATCATGCCCATGAATTTAGTACATGGCCATTATGTTAGGCCAGGCCCGTAGCCAGGATTTTGATTTTGGGGGGGGGGGGGTTATGAGTTTGATTCGGGGAGGGGGGGCTGAGTCTGTGTGAAAGAAGGTCTACTCTAGCAAACCTTTTGTATTGTTACCCCAATACCCCCATGCATATGGGATATATTGAGCATGGTGATCAGATCATGATATGAATAAACATAACGGTTTAAATAATGTACCAGTAAGGCCTTCTCGCAGACCACCATGAGAATTTTGGGGGGGGGGGGAGGCTGAAGGCCCTCAAGCCCCCCCACCCCCAGCTAAATGCCTGTGTTAGGCTATTAGTTGGTGTTGTTGTTGGTTATGTTTTTATGATGTTTTGTATTTGTAATTTTTACTGTGCCATATTTTAATCTCTGTTTGACCAGGTTTGTCCCCATGTAAGCCGTCTCGAGTCCCTCCAGGGAGATGGTGGTGGGATACAAAATAAAGTTATTATTGTTATTGTTATTGTTATTGTTATTATTATTCCTGGTGAAATTAATTCCTCACACAAAATATTTCAACATCTATCTTTATTGTACTGAGAGAGAGCTCCAGGGTACTAAGCTATCTACCAAGAGCTAGAATATGAATTCCCATGGAAAAACTTAAATGGGATGTGATCAACTTTGGGTCTAGAAGAGGCCTGCACAACCTGTGACCCTCCAGCTATTTTGACTTCCAACTCCCAGAATTCCTGATCATTGGACATACTGGCTAGGGCTTCTGGGAGTTGGAGACCAAAACAACTGAATTGTCGCAGGTTGTGCAGGCCTGGATTAGAGAGAAGATGTTAATCTTTTAGTAGATAAAGAAGACCCTCTTGCCCATCTGACATTTCTTTTGTTTCACAGACTTCACACAATGGAATGATGCCAAGTGCCACAAACTCAATGCTTACATCTGCAAGCATGAACTGTAGAGACTCAACTGAGCCTACAAGAAACACAGGACTGAAATGAAGAGCAATCTTTGAGAAAGGGCAGAATTCTCCAAGACATCTTGAAAGCTTGCATTTTTAAAGGAACAGATGTTCTAGAACAACTGATGCAGATCCCACCCAATCCCAACAATATTTCTCATCCCAAAAGGTCCCTACTATAATTTATATAACAGCTTGGCAGGTAACAACATGTGAAATATCTTCCTGCAAAACTCACATTGACAAAGGGTTCTTTCAATGTGTACCAATTATATGGTATTACCCAAGAATCCTTGTGGGAAGCCATGGCAGTAGAAGTGGTTAATGGCTATAAAACCCATATAATGTTGCGTAGCATGAACATACTTTCGAAATTAAACCTTATCACCTGCACATTTTCCGTGCATCCACTTTGGTGTAGTTTACAAAATAAATGCTCATTAAATTTCCTTATATGTATGAAATTTGGGTGGAATGAGATTGTCTACATTAATTTAATTTTAGCCTTAAAAGCACGTAAGCTTTGAGTGATTATTTATTAGTTTTTGTACCATATATCCCCCACTGAGGCTGGATCGACATACCCTATATCTCAGGATCTGATCCCAGATGATCTTCTTATCCCAGATTATCTGGCAGTATATACTCATTTCATCCAGTTCAAAGCAGATAATCTGGGATCAGATGTTTGGATAGAGGGCAGTAAATACAGCCTGACTTAAGAATACTTTTTGGTTCATAGGAGACATTCAGGAAAGGATATGGAGATATGACAAAATAATGTAACACAACAAGAATAATGCTATACAACAAGAAAACCAGTTAAAAATCCAAGCAAGTAGGACCTGCAATAGGAAGTTGTGAGACCCAACGTGGTATAGTGGTTTGAGATTTGACTATAGCTCTGGAGACCAGGGTCCACGTGTATGTGGAAACCCATTTGGTGACCTTGAGTAAGTCACATATTTTGAGCCTTAGCGAAATAGGATCACTTTAGAAACAGGTTCACCATAGGTCAGAAACAACCTGAAGGCACATAACAATGAACAAGAACTGAAAACTGTCATGTGGAATGCAGCCATTCTCCTTTCCAGAATACACTGTTTCCTTCCTTCTCCTCCCAGATTTCTGTTTTCCCTTCCAACAAAGTCCATTCTGTAGCAATTAAATATGTTCAGTTTCCCATGCACTATTTGTTTACATTCAGTTTTTCCACCCTTTAAATGGAGTGTGTGTGCGTGTGTGTGTATATATGTCTGTCTGTCTATCTATCTGTCTGTCTGTCTGTCTATCTAAACTTGGATTTTCTGAGACTGAAGATCCCTCCCCCTTGAGCAAAGATGATGCTAGTTTAGATTCATCTGTATGTATTCCCTAATAGTAAATGCCAGGGTTGGAGACAGTTTTACCTGCAAGCTGCATGTAGTTCTTAAATCAGTGTTTATGAGTCTCAATGGAGCTCTCTCTACGCCAAGACACAGAATTAATTTAGTATTTCCTGTATTTGGAGAAAGTTTGTCCTGCAAGCCACATATAGTCATTTATTTATTTATTTGCAGTATTTATATTCCGCCCTTTTCACCCTGAAGGGAACTCAGGGCGGATCACAGAACATATATATATGGCAAACATTCAATGATGTTATACACTAACAAGACAGACAACTGTACATAGATAGAGGTATTTATAGGCTTTCCCATCTTCGGCATCTTGGAGCCCTTCCATACAGACCTATTTCCGAGAATATCAAGGCGGAAAATCCCACATTATCTGAGTGTGGACTCAGATAACCCAGTTCAAAACAGATATTGTGGGATTTTCTGCCTAGCTATTCTGGATACAGGGCTATGTGGAAAGGCCCTTGGAGGCTTCTCCACGAGCCTGTTCCCACACGACCAAACACTAATATTTTTTTGGCTAAGACATAGGTTTTTTAATTACTGAGGGGGCTCTAGGAATGCTGGTCTTTGCATATTGATAGTCACAAGAGCCAACAATTGCTATTGCCTCAAAATGCTGTGCTGTCAATCTCAATCTGGATTCAATTCCTCGTTCAGTCATTGGGAAATTGAATTCTTGGTTTCAGAGTTCGATTGCATCAACAGATCACTGGACATTTTCACCATAATGGAACCCACTGAGCAGTTCCACCCAAAACTGGCAGAAATTTAAAAATAATATTTAAATGATCATACTCTTAAACAAGGTGCATGGGGAGGTTATACCTTGTTTTCGAGAGTAGCCATGCTTTTAGGAGTCTTCCAGGAATTGGTTATCCTCTAAAACAGGTATTGGCAAACTGGCTGTTAGGAATTGTGGGAGTTGAAGTCCAAAACACCTGGAGGCCTGAAGTTTGCCCAAGCCTGCTCTAAATTAAACTAAGCTACATTTTGTAGAGATGCCACTGTCATGCTGAAAAGCTTATCAGGGGCTCTAGGATGGCCACAGTCAAGGGGTCACATTAGGTATGAGTTGCCCAGCCCTATTCTAAACATTTCAATACAATATGAACCCAGTATTTGCAGATAATATGTTCGTGGACTTTGTGTGGATATGCAAGACCATGGATAATGGTAAATCCTATTGAAATGAAGGACTTTCACCACGGGAATATCATAGAATCATGCTGGAGGACCTTGAAAATGTTTAGAGGGATATATTTTTTCAGATGTGAATAAATGTAAATATGGATACCAGTCCTGCAGATACAGGGGACATAGTACATATTTTGAAAATATGATGAGTATTCACAATTCTATGTGGGAAAAACAAACTATTTTAGGCATATTCACCTCTGAATGCTTTCCTTACAGTAACTGTAATTATGATTATGCCTTCTGGCTGATTGAGGCTAAACTAGAGCAAGTTTGTCAACTCCACCTGGAAAGAAAAAGAGTAAAAATAAATCCAGCACTTCGGGTATTGGGCAATCGGGTTCATGCCCTGTAGCCAAATACACATTGCTTGCACATTTGTATTATCCCGTAGTGCTATTTGGTAATTAGGAACATAGCTACACCATCAGCATACATGCCGATTTCCCCTCATCCCCGAATATATACAGTGATCCCTTTAATGTTTCATAGGAACATGTTGCATATCAGAACATTGACCCACCTAGTGGAGTACAGTAGGACCTTGGCATCTACTGAGGTTTGGTTCCAGGAACCCAGTAGATATAACAGAAAATTACAGAACTTATTGTGATCCTAAACCACCCAGTAAACATGGCAGCAAGGAGATGGCACTCCCGAGAAAGGTGTGTGGTGGAAAACTTAGGAGGTGACCATATTTATCTTCAGTGGTGGAAGTGGTAGTAATTCTTCTTCTTCTTCTTCTTCTTCTTCTTCTTCTTCTTCTTTTTGTATCTCACTCTGCAGTTTTGATTCTATGAAATAATACTGAATGCTAGCATTCTTCTTGAGTCTCCATAAATGTTCTTATAGGTGTAAATATTGAGTTGAGTGGTTTCTCAACATCTATACCAGTGGTTCTCCACCTGTGGGCTGCGATTATGAAAATCTGATGTGTGAACCTCATTTCTCTTTATTTATTTATTTTTATTTCCACTCCTTTCTGCAGAGCTAAGCAGCCCCAACCCTTTTGGTACTAATGTTGGATAGTGGTCCCCAATCAAGTGGTCCCTCGTCAAAGTAGTCCCTGGTCAAAGTGGTCCCTGGTCAAAGTGGTCCCTGGTCAAAAAAAAAGGTTGGGAACCATTGATCTATACTCACTAGCCAGTGAAGTGGCTGATGCAGTATGGCTCCAAGAACAATGTGCATGGAGGAGTAATGGGGCACTCACCAATTTGCATTTGGACACTGGCTAAGATATGGCAGAGCACAATGGAAGTGTTTGATGTGCATCAGAATTAATATCCAGTGTAGATCAGAAGTGCTCAAAGGTGGTGGTGATTATATTGATGACAGTGGCAAAGGGCTTTTAATTATAACAATTTATTTGCGGTGGGGCGGGGCATCAGTCATTTTTACAGGTTGGATGCCACTGAGGGGTAAGTGTGTTTCCAAGGGGCACATAAAATTCTCAAAGGATACATGTGGCCCATGGTCCACATTTTCTGAACACCTAAGCTAGACTTTCCTTTTGGATCTGCCATCTTGAATCTTCTTGGGAAAGGCCAATAAGTAGAAAAACTGGCAGCAATAGATTAGGAGTTCCATGCAAGTCCTGTGGTTTTAGTTTGAATTCTCAGGGAGCTGTCCAAGGTGTTGAATCCTAATCCCAAATACATCCAGGAGCTTAGGCTGTTCCTTTAACCTTCAGACCAAAAACCTGGAACAGGTTCACCTGACTCACTGGCATGGAAGCAGCTGTCTGCCATTGTATGGTGGAGACAAAATCAAGAAGAAACAAAAATCTCTGAAAGCTGTTTATGGATGAAAGTGTTACCGAATTTGCACTTCCATTGATTTAGTTTTCTCTGCCTCATCATCAGGTTGCAGTTGGCATTGGGATTTGAAACCAAACTTTATGGATAATCAATGTGTTCCCTTTGTTAATTGTTGATGGTTGGGATGTATCAAATAAATAAATTTAAAAAATCAATGTGTTCACTTTGAAAATGTGGCCAGTTCTGCCCTTTGCAGGTTTCCAGGAGAAAAATTTATTATTATTATTATTATTATTATTATTATTATTATTATTATCATCATCATCATCCTACAGGCAGCACAGAATGAAGTGAATTCTGGAGAGTGTAGCTTCAGACTGTGATGTTGAACCACCATATTCTGAAATCTTTGCCATACTTCCACTCATCCCTATGAATTGTTTGACTCAAGTTCACAGGGGCTTCTTGTTCTTGTTGATAGGGATTGACTAAACAATTGGAATTCTAATGCTAGTTTTTTTTCCTGTGGGTGAGCAGATGGTGACTACTGGATGGCATATGTTCTGTATCAGAAACTAGAGATGATGTGGTCTGTCCAATGCAACTTTGTGAATCAGTACCCCCAATAATCAAACCAAATCTAAAGTTGACCCAAACCGATTTGTAACCCTTTTGGTGCTAATGTTGGAAAGTGAACCCTGGTCAAAGTGGTCACTGGTCAAAAATAGGTTGGGATCCACTGCTCTAGTAGAAAAGCTGCCTGTGACTATCTCCTTCACTCTTTGTCATTGTGATGCTAAAGTTCACTCTTCAGCCTGTAGTCACATTCCAATGAAAACCAAATAGGGTAGATTAAATGTTCCTTATCCCACCTCTCTAAAGGCACTGAAGTGACATGTGTGGGATTGTCCTTCAATCCCACTCTCCCTGCCACTCCACCTGGCTGTAATTAATTAGTTTAAAGTTTTATTTATTTATTTTTACTACCCTTCACTGAAACTGCAAAGTTCCTCTTTAAAATAACATTTAAAAAAAATCACAGAGCAGCAGCACTGTGGGAAGGTGGATTTACAAGGCTAAGTGAAGTAAAGCTGCAAGACCATGGATCGGCAAACTGTTGTAGTTGCATGACTGCAGAAAGAGACAAATCTTAAGCTATCATTTAGCATTTTATCACTATCCATGATCATGTGGGATAGCAACTTTTTGCAATAAAGTACAAAGATTCCTGCTTTAAATTCGAAATGAGATATTATGTTTTCTCTGTGTGTGAATGACATATTGTGATGAACCTAGGAAGAAGACAAGATATTAATATTAATATTATTATTAATAATAATAAATAGTTGAAAGAGAAAAGATGGAATAGAAATATTATTTTAAAAAATAGCTCTCACATTTGTTCTTTTTCAAATAATGCTTTAATAAATGTTTTATTGGCATAGTACACAGTTTTTGCAACTCTCTGATTGAACAAGCAGAGTTAGTATTTAGCATTTAGACATTTGAAATATATATTCTTCTCCCTCATGCTGGATTAAAGGCTAACATGCCTGAATCAGACTCTTCATGTTGTAAATGGAAACCTTTGAAAAACTCTGTATACATGAAACACATTTATATGTGAACCAGGCCTGGGGCTTTCAGGCTTTAGCAAGAAACACCTTGCCCTATCCATATTTTCCAACTGTGCTGAATGGCCAAGGACAGTGCTGGTTTAGGGCCTCTCCACACAGCCACATAACCCAGAATATCAAGGTAGAAAATCCCACAACATCTGCTTTGAACTGAGTTATCCCTCCTTCCCCATACACCCCCTCTTTCTTTCTTTCTTTCTTTCTTTCTTTCTTTCTTTCTTTCTTTCTTTCTTTCTTTCTTTTTCTTCTTTAATGTATTATTATCAAACTTTAATAAAAACAATTTTTTAAAAAACACAAAGTTCTTGTGGTTTAAAAAACTTTTTCAATGTTTTTATGATAGAACCAATTAGGACATGACATTAATAACCCAGGAACAAAAATTGTGTTAGACCAATAAGGCCTCTTCCACATTGAACCGAATTATATGGCAGTGTGGTCTCAGATAATCCAGTCCAAAGCAGATATTGTGGATGATCTCCTTTGACATTCTGGGTTATATGACTGCGTGGAATGGCCCTAACATTCAGGAGGAAGAGAAGATGCAGGGATGGGATCTTACTCTTTCAAGTAGGCTTGAGGGAAAGCAAACAGCTGTAACCTCTCCTAGCTTATGTGTTTTACTGTTTCCCCCCATTAATACAACACAGGCCACAGTTTCAAACAGGAATTGAAGAAAGGGCAGATGGTTACATCTGGAACCAATTTGTGGCCTGAATGGTGATGGCACAAACCTCAGAGCACTGATGTACATTCAGGACTTTTTTTGCACGCTTATGTGAGTGTTTGTTGTTTGCCCACAATAGACAACAAACTGTCTGCCTATAGTTTGAGGCTAGTTTTGAACTGCATTTAACAGTTAGGATAGAAGTGTCCTGCTTTCCACCTGTGAAATGTTGGTGGGTCTACAAACTCCTTTGAGAGAGTGGAGCTTGGTGACACTCCTCAGAGGAGGGGTAACCAGGAAAGGAAGAGAAAATAATAAGAAATAAAGGAACAAAGAAAGAGGTAAGAGATGAGGCTACAAACTATTTCACATCATTTTCTCTCCAAATTGTAAGCACTAGGTATCAAGTTGCAGAAGCTTGAAGATGCATTGCTGAGATACAGAAGTATTAAGCACATAAGTACACAGATGGTGTTAATGTTGTCTCAAACTCCATGGCTCAGCAGCTGGGAAGTGAATAGCATCACCCTCTGGTCAGGGCAGGACCGGCTCCAGGTGTATGGGTTGCCGCTGGGCATCACATCTTACACGGAGGCGATTGGACTGCAGATTGCCACGGTAAAAACAATTGGGAGGAGAACCACTAGGTCTATCACATTGAAGGACATTAAAATGATTCCTGCTTTCAAAAAAATCAGGTGGAAATCCGACAGATGGAAATCCTCCATTTCTGCAGATGTCCAGGATGTTTGTGGTGGTGTCATCAATGAAAGTATTAACTGGTTTGCATTTATATCTAGTCATTCCTCTTCTCAACATCATTAGGCTGCAGTAGGCATTAGGGTTGTGAATTTGTGGCATTGGGTAATAGATGTGCTTGTTTTGAAAATCCATCCAGGTCTGTCCATCGCAGGTTTGCATCAGAAGATAGGCCAAAGAGATCCCTAGCAAGCAGGAGACTTTCAGGATCATTGTAGCAAGTCCTTGGAAATTACAGAAAGAAGGGGACTGGAATAAGAAAGAAGAGATATGGGTTTCCTAGGTATACATTTGACAGCTCTTTTGTGCAGTAGACCAGGGCTGGGCAGACACCAATGGTTATTTATTTATTTATTTATTTTAAAACTTTTATATCCCGATCTTCTCAACCTCTACAGAGGGACTCAGACTGGCCAGCATCAATCATATGAGCTTCTGTTTGCATATATAGATTAGATACAGGTTTCTCAGCTCAGGGACCACCTTAGAACATCAAATGATACTGTTGGCAAAAGATGGAAGAAAGTGCTCCATCGTCATTTGGATATTACTGCTAATTGAACTCCCCGGTGGACTTTGGACTTCATGACTCATTGTCTTCTTACCTTGTTTGAAAAGAGTCTTTATTGTATATGTGTCCCTGAAACCTGTATACATTGAGACCTTACAACTGTAATGTTTGAGAGCAATTGCTCCTTTTCATTTTATTTTATATGATTGTATTGCAAATGTTATGTCTGAGAGTGGTTGCTCCTTGTTATTTCACTTTAAGTGACTATATTGAACTATGTACTGAATATTATATACTTTATGCTCCTTGAGTAGTATTTTTCCTTACATAGATTATTTTGTATTTGAAAATATGGAAGAAGTCACATACCTAATACTTTCAGCTGGGTCCAAATAGGTAGTTGTGTATGTTGTAGCTAAAAGAAATAGAAAAAAGAGTCATGTGACACCTTTAAATTAGACAAATGTATTTTACCTCCAAAATATTTTGTATTGTGTATGAAATAGCTGGAACATTTGTAATACAATCATATAAAATAAAATGAAAAGGAGCAATCACTCTCAAACATAACAATTGTAAGTTGGAATTCTGACAAAATGTTTCGTATACTAATACCATTGCATATATGTCAGTAAACAAACTAATTGCACATCTACTTCCATTTAGGTCAGTGGGAAACCAGCAGAGAAGGAAGTGAATTCACACTGTGGATGATTGCATGTGAAGTCACAGAGCTGGTTCGAAGCCTAGAGTGTGCTTACAGAGATTTCCCTCAAACTGGCCCCAAGATCTGCAGTATCTTCAGCTTCATGACCATGGCAGAATTGGGTTTCCTTTTTCACCTCCCCTACTGGGGAAAGTGGAAGGCAAAAGGAAGAGGGGCCGACCAAGGGCAAGATGGATGGATGGCATCCTTGAAGTGACTGGACTGACCTTGAGGGAGCTGGGGGTGGTAACGGCCGACAGGGAGCTCTGGCGTAGGCTGGTCCATGAGGTCACGAAGAGTCGGAGACGACTGAACGAATGAACAACTGTAAGTTGCATTTGTGGATTGCTGGACTTCCTGTCCCTTAGTTGGTTTCACCAGAATGTGTTGCTGAGAACCTTGTCAAACCTATGATGAAAATCATGATGGGTTTAGGAAATGCCCTTTAGTCCTGATCTCTAATTTTGCACCAAATAAGTCCTGAATGATAATTATTCATGCCTTAGGATTCTTCTCATCATGGTTCTTCTCATCATGATTTTACAACCCTTGGGAAACATGGATTTTAATCATTTTTGCAAATGCTTTCCAATAGCCTTTCCATCCCTATATGAGAGTGACTCTGAAGAAAAATGATGGATTTGTGGTGGGTTCCAGGGAATTGGTATTATTTGCACACACCTGGGAAGCTTTCTGCACTGCTTGCATGAGAAATATTTCCCAAAATTGCACTGGTTTTTTTAAATAATTTGGGTGATATCAGAAAAACTCCAAGGGGCTGGTGGAAAGGCTATAGAGTTACATAAATGGAGTCCAGTGGGCTGCATAAGGCTTGCAGTCTTCAATTTTTCTCTCAATAAATAAATAAATATTTTTATAACCCGCCTATCTCCCCTAAGGGACTCAGGAAGGTATCCAGACAAGAAAGGAAAATATTCAACGCCATAAAAAAGAATACAAAGATACCAGATCAAACAGTACATAAAACATCTATCAAAACTCATAACAACCAAACAATGAAAGAGTCGTTAAATAAACATAGAAAAATTTAAACAATTAAAATGCAATTGAGTTATAAGAGCCTGCAGAGCCAGAGTGGGTTACTAGTTTCCGGGTGTTTTTTTTTTTTTTGGTCGTGTCAGGAGCGAATTGAGAAACTGCAAGTCACTTCTGTTGTGAAAGAATTGGAAAGATCTGGAGCTGATAGAGGGAGCTCATCCGCTTCTCCCAGTTTCTCACCAGTTTCCAGGTGAGGTTGTATCTTAAGATGATCTAGTCCTCCTCCTCTCCATAAGCTAAAGTGCAGAGATGTGTTTTTAAACATTTTTTAAAGGAGAGGAGGGAAGGGGCCATTTTAATTTCTTTGTGAAGTGAGTTCCAGAGGTGAGGGGCAATCCCAACTACACTTGGGACAAGAGTGGGACCAAGTGCAGGGCCTCCTCCACTGATTGCAGCTCCTGAGGTGATTTATAGATGGAGATGCGGTTTTTCAAATAGCCTGGACCTCAACCCTTTGGGGCTTTGTAGTAATAGCCAGCACTTTGGATTTAGCCCTGTAGCAGACCAGCAGCCAGTGGAGCCGCTGTAACGTGGGAGTTATCCGCTCCCTGTATGGCGCTCTAGTTAGTAACCTGGCTTCTGATCTCTGAACCAAATGGAGTTTCCAAACTATCTTCTAAGGCAGCTCCACATAGAGAGCGTCCAAATGGAATGTGACTGAGGCATGGACTACCATGGCCAGATCTGGTGTCTCAAGGTACGGGAACAGCTGGCGCACAAGTTTTAAGTGTGCAAAGGTGCTCCTGGCCTCCGCCAACACCTGGGATTCCAGGGCCAGTGATGAGTCCAGGATCAGACTCCAGACTGTGAACCTGTATCTTCGGGGCGGGGGGGGGGGGGGGGGGTGTAACTCCATTCAGCATAGGCTGTAACTCTTTACCCTGCTCTGCCTTATGACTGACCAGGGGTACCTCTGTCTTGTCTGGATTGAGTTTCAACTTGTTAGCCCTCATCCAGTCCATTACTGATGATGACAAGCATTGGTTTAGGACCAGGACGGCATCCTTAGCTTTGGGTGGAAAGGAGTAATAGAGTTGTGTGTTGTCCGCATAAATTTGACACCAAATTCCAAAACTCCAGATGATCTCTCCCAGCAGTTCCATGTAAATGTTAAACAGAATTGAACCCTGAGGGACCCCCACAGGCCAACAGCCAGGGAGTTGAACAGGAGCCCCTTAATTCCACCATCTGCGACCAGCCCTCCAGGAAGGACCAGAGCCACTGTAAAACAGTGCCCCCAAGCCCCATCCCAGAGAGACGGCCCAGAAGGATACCATGGTCAATGGCATTGAAAGCCGCTGTGAGGTCCAGGAAAACCAACAGAGAAACATTCCCTGTCTAACTGTCTTCATAGATCTAACTTTCCCCTCAATGCAATTGAGACCATTGAAAACCAGACTGTGATGCTCACTCAGCTTACCTGTGTTCAGTCTTTAATTCAGGAACGGATGTCAATTTCTGCCGGGATACCTTCTCTGCCCAGCCTGACATCTGAGAGAGTTATATATAGACAGAAATGGGGCAGAAAGAGGAAGAATAGTCATCACTTGCCATGATAGTGCAAATTAAAAATAGAGGAAGGATATGATTCCATTTCCACTCAAAATGTGAAAAAAAGTTCATGATGGCCACATATTTTGGAAAATACTGTATTGTAACTGACTTTATGCTTTTTGATAAGGCTTTATTTTAGAGTGTCCATTTCTTGTATAGTTTACAGTCCAGGTCTAGAACGTCTCTAGAGGTCATTGGTGGCATTGTATGTTCCTTGAGATGTTTTTGGATGAAAAGTGCAATTTCCACATAGTCTCTTGATTTAAGTCCAGTCATTGCAACTTAGGCCTTCCACTTATTTGCATCTTAAAAGGAGGAAAAGCAAAGCTTCATTTTCATCAGGGGTTGGTCTCTCATAGCCTCTTCTATTGAGGGCTTCAGAACACTCTCTGGAATTGCAGTGGTGGTAGTTGGTTAGCTTCATATGGATGTCCTCCGTAGTTCATTTCTCCATGACTTCTTCCACCATCTTTTTGAGGACATTTTCCCCGCCAGTGTCCATTGCTCTCTTACTGCAAGCAACACTTGATATTTGTTGTCAGGACTGAAGAATACTCTTGCCAATGTTCTCAAATCTACAAGGGTGGACTTGTGGCTTTCCATTACATCAAATAAAAAGTCTGTATAACTTGAAGGACTCTCTCCATATGGTGGAAGACCTTCCTTCTAATTTAAAATGTCTGTTGTACTAAAGTAGTGTTTCTTAACCACTGGGCCGCAAGGACAAAAATCTGGTCCATGAGCCTCCTTCCTCTTTGTTTTATTTTATTTATTTTATTTCTGCTTCTTTCATGCTGCCTGCCATTTCTCCCCTGTTGCTGACCATGGCATATGTTCTATATCAGAAACTAGAGCTGATGTGCTCTATCCAGTGCAATTTTCTGAATCAGCACCCCAAACTGAATCAAAAGTTATTTATTTCTTTCCAATATTTCTATCCCTCCCTTCTCAACCCTCGAGGGGGGACTCAGGGCGGCTTACAAACCAGCCACAATTCGAAACCTCAATATAATACAAATATAAACACAGATAGCAACAGTTTAAAACAGTAAATAAAACATTAACTTAAAAACATGTTAAAAACATTGTCATCAACCATATAGCCCATTTCAGTACAGTTCAACATCCAAGGTGCTGTCATACTTGCTGTCCAAAGGCCTGGTCCCAGAGCCATGATTTAACCTTCTTCCTAAAAGAAAGGAAGAAGCCGGCCTGATCTCACTGGGGAGTGAGTTCCACAGGCATGGGGCCACCACCGAGAAGGCCCTGTCCCTCATCTCTGAGGCCGGCGAGACAAAGAGCAGGGCCTCCATGGACAATCTTAAGCTACGAGATAGGACGTAAAGGGAGATACGTTCGGACAGGTAAGCTGGACCAGAACCATATAGGGCTTTATAGGCCAAGACCAACACTTTGAATTGCGCTCGGAAGTGGACTGGCAGCCAGTGGAGCTGACACAATGGGGGGCGGGGGTATGCTCCTTGGATGTCGCTCCAGTTGAACAAAAACTGATTCAAAATCCTTTTGGTACTAATGTTGGGGAGTGGTCCCTGGTCAAAGTGGTCCCTGGTCAAGTGGTCCCTGATCAAAAAAAAGTTGGGAATCACTGTACTGAAGGGTATGTGAATCCATTTTTCTTCACTGCCTTGAGATGACACTTTTCAAAGTGGAGCTAATTTGACCCATTCTTCCTCCTTTATACTGGATCTGAAATTGGGCTGTTGTAGGTTTTTTCGGGCTACATTGTTTTCGTGGTATTTTTCAAAATTTAATCTCTTAAAATCCTTAAAAGGATTTGCAGGATGTATCATCAAAGGCTTTCATGGCCAGAGTCACTGGGTTGTTGTGAGGACACTTGCCTCACAACCTCTGAGGATGCTTGCTACAGATGCAGGTGAGACGTCAGGAGAGAATGTTTCTAGAACATAGCCATACAGCCTGAAAAGCCTACAACAACCCAGATTTGCAGAACTTTTCAGAGGCAATGCTGATGGAGCCATTCTAGAAGTCAAAGGTGATGTTTGTAGATCGTCCATGTTTCTCAGGCATGCAACAGAATTGGAAGGACAATACCTTTATAAACAAGCATCTTGATATCTGTACAAATGCTATTCTTAAAATAGGTTGTCATTGGCTGGTATTGGATGGTGGTGGGGAGAATAAGAATCAACGTGATTTTCTGGAATGGTTCTTGTGCTGTCGCGCACTGGGCCTATAGCAATTGGCTTTGAACAGGACGTGCTCTTTGTGCCCAGTGGGAAACCGGGGTGCCTCGATGAGAGGCCCTATGGGTTTTCCTATACAAAGTCTTTAGAACAGTGGTTCTCAACCTGGGGTCTCCAGAAGTTTTTGGCCTTCAACTCCCAGAAATCCTAACAGCTGGTAAGCTGGCTGGGATTTCTGGGAGTTGTAGGCCAGAAACATCTGGGGACCCAGGTTGAGAACCACTGCTTTAGAAGCTTAAAGGTTTAACAAAATTCTTTATTATTGCTTAGGTCTTCAACAAACAATCTCAGATCTTCAACAAATCAAACACATGCTTCTTAACTTGTCTACAATGGGCAGGCAACTTGCTTGGAGAACTGTTTCTTTCCTTTATGAGGAAAACCCTTTTTGACCCCTCCCTGGGCAATCTGCTTTCTAGGCTATGCTGGTGTGGGCCCTACTCCCAGCTCCAAATTGCTTCTTGGGTACCCAAGTAGACCTACCAGCCAAGGCTCTGCAGCCAAGGCTCTGAAGAATTTCCAGCTGGAATCCTTCGGATTTTTCCCATGAAAGTTGTAGGTCCGTTTCTCTAACCCCAACAAGGGTTGTGCTGTAAAGCTGTTTCCCTTAAAAGCCTTTCTTTAGAGACTGTTCTTAAAGCTGTGAGGCTGTAAATTCCCCAGCTAGAGCTTTTGGGACTGTTTTCCCCCAGACTTTGTATAGGAAAACCCATAGGGCCTCTCATCTTCGGCACCCCGGCTTCTCGCTGGACACAAAGAGCATGTCCTGTTCAAAAGCCAATTGCTATAGGCCCAGCGCACGACAGCACAGTTCTTTTTAGGCTTCTGTAGCTTAGGAGGCTAAGAAGGAGGCTGCCCTTGTGGCTAATCTGGGGGTTTGCTCTCTTTTATAAAATCCTGAGACATGGGAGCGAGGGCTTGGGCTGGACTTCCAGTAAATGACTGGCTGGGATACACAACCATGGATTTAGGTTGCCCCAAGGGTCAGGTGTTTCACCCAAGGGTGAGCTGAGGAGATGGACATGGGTTGATACTTGTCCATTGGTTAAGACCCACATAGTTTTGCTCCTCCAGCCTTAGCAAGTATCCTAGGAACTAACACAAGATAGCCTTTATTTTACCCAGGCTTTGTGTCAACAAGCGTAATTATTTCATAGATCATATTGAACCTGGAGACTTCAAAGGAATTATCATCCAAGTGCCTTCCTACCTGAGTGGAGAGTTGGACCTTGATCACCCCTTCAGAGTTCTAGTGCAAATCATTCATTTTTACACCACAGTGAGTTATACAGGCTTAGAATATTGATAAAATTTATCATTACGCAGAACCCTAGCAAGTACTTCTTCTACCTTTTCCAGAGTACTCAATTACACACTTTAAACTTAGATGCTTGGATCTTTTTGAGATAACCGTTTTTTAACTTTGGTCAGTGCAAGACTTCTCAGAAGCCAACCTTCTGTTTCAGTAAATTTCTATTTTCTATTCTACCTCAGTAGTAAAGTTTTTCATCTAATGTTTTACAATGTTTGTTTGTTGTATTGTATTTCATTGTTTTATATTTTTTGGTTGTGTTATTAATTGTTTATTCTACTTTGTGTAGTTTATTGTGTTGTACTTTATTGTATTATTTATGTTGTGAGCCACTCCGAGTCCCTTTGGGAGATTGCATGGGATATAAATAAAGATTATTTATATGTTTGAGAAGAGAAGGAGTTCCAATCTCCCAGCAAAGCTTTTTTTTTAACCCAACAACTTAGAAGTGAACCTTGAATGGTTTCTTCGATCATCTGGAGAGGCCCTACTTGTGCTCCCACCTGCATCACAAGCGTGATTGGTGGGGACGAGAGAGAGGGCCTTTTCGGTGGTGGCCCCTCGACTCTGGAACTCACTCCCTAATGACATCAGACATGCCCCATCTTTGGCAGTCTTCAGGAGGAGCTTGAAAATGTGGTTGTTCCAGTGTGCCTTCCCAGAATAATGAATGCTTAGCACTATGTCCCACAAAGCACTTTATATTGATTTAGGACTGCTTGTATTTCTCCACTGACGCCCCATCTCCTGTATCTTATCCATGCCCAGCATTATTTTTTAAACTGTAATTACACTTGGCCCAGCCATAGTTTTAAATGTGCACTGTATTAGTTTAATGTTTATGCTATTGTGTATGTGTTTATTTTAATTGCTTTGTATTGTACCTGTTATTGCTTGTATTGCTTGTATTGTTTTTATTGCGGCCTCGGCCTCATGTAAGCCACACCAAGTCCCTTGAGGAGATGGTAGCGGGGTATAAATAAAGTATTATTATTATTATTATTATTATTATTATTATTTCTCCAAATATTTTTGACCAATCCAATTTATTGAGGAAGTTATCTGACTAGCAATGTCCTTTTGACTTTTATCCTATAGTAACAATCTTGTTGATGCAATCTGAAATTTTGACCACAGTGTTCCTGATAACTTCACCACAGATCTTTTGCAGAACTGTGCTTGCATAAAGTACAGTAACTATTTCAAATGTCATTGAGGCAAGACATTGACCCCCTAAAGAACTTCATTAGCTACTTACACATTTCTGCGGTATCTTTTCTTTCTGATGCTCATGTTTTGCTGACCATAGGACCTTTATATTAGTTCAGATCTTGTTTCAGCCATAACTGACGTTTATGATTACTTGACCTACTGGCCCTAGTCACCTCCCACCAACTAGTTCAGCCATCCCTAACTCAACCTTGACTTCAATGCAAAGAAGCCTATTGGGGTAGAAGGTAAAGGTTTCCCATGACATTAAGTCCAGTCGTGTCCAACTCTGGGGGTTGGTGCTCATCTCCATATCTAAGCTGAAGAGCTGGCATTGTCCATAGGCACCTCCAAGGTAATGTGGCCAGCATCATGACTGTATGTAGTGCCGTTATTTTTCTGCCGAAGCGATATCTATTGAATGTATTGTCAAAGGCTTTCATGGCTGGAATCACTGGGTTGTTGTAGGTGTTTTCGGGCTATATGGCCATGTTCTAGAGGCATTTTCTCCTGACGTTTTGCCTGCATCTATGGCAAGCATCCTCACTACCTCTGAGCATCCTCACTACCTCTAGAACATGGCCATATAGCCTGGAACAACAACCCAGATACCTATTGATCAACTCACATTTGCATGTTTTCGAACTGCTAGGTTGGCAGAAGCTGGGGCTAACAGCGGGAGCTCACCCTGCTCCATGGATTCAAACTGCCAACCTTTCAGTCAGGTAGTTCAATAACTCAGTGCTTTAACCAGCTGCACCACTGGGGCCTCCCTGCCTATTGGGGACAGTCACTTTAAAAACCTACGGATTTCATGTGGATCTTTGACCAAGTAAAATAATTCTTTTTTAAAGCAGTTTAAGAGCTAAAGAACTGGTTAGGATATGAATTGTCATGAATGTAATATGTTAGGAGTGGCCAATACAGATGCATACAATTTTATTTCTCAATGTAGACAGGCCCTATGATCTACAATGTACAGCGAAGAGAAAGAATAAAGAATATCTAAGAGCTTTGCTTGGAAAAGCTATTCATTGACCATGAGAGCCAGAGGGTGCTGAAAGTTGAAAGTTTCTGGGTTGCTGTGAGTTTTCCAAGCTTATGGTGATGTTCCAGAAGTATTCCCTCCTGACGTTTTACCCATATCTATGGCAGGCATCCTCAGAGCTTGTGAGGTCTGTTGGATACTAGGCAAGTGGGGTTTATATATCTGTGGAATGATCAGGGTGGGAGAAAGGCCTGTTGGAGGCAATTGTGAATGTTGCAATTGGCCACCTTGATTAGCATTTAATGGCCTTGTAGCTTCAAACCCTGGCTGGTTGTTGCCTGGGGGAATCCTTTGTTGGGAAGTTTTAGCTGGGCCTGAGTGTTTCCTGTTCAGAATTCCCGTTTTTTTGAGTGTTATTATTTATTTCTTGTCCTGATTTGGAGTATTTGTTTATTATTTATTATTTATTTCCGGTATTTCTACCCCTTCTCTTCTCTACCCGTGAAGGGGGACTCAGGACGGCTAACATTAGGCAACGATTCGATGCCGCTTCATATAAAAAATTACATTAATACAACACAATTAAAATACATAAAGCATTAGTTAAAATAATACAATATCATCAGCTGTATCATCATTCCAGTCAATTTCCAACCAAAGTGCTAATTAAGTCTGGTATCCGAAAGCCTGGTGCCACAACCATGATTTCACTTTCTTCCTGCATGCCAGGAGGGATGAGGCTGATCTTATCTCCTTTGGAAGCGCGTTCCACAAGTGGGGGGCCACAGCCGAGAAGGCCCTGTCTCTCGTCCTGGCCAACACGTTTGCGATGTAGGCGGGAGCGAGAGCAGGGACTCCCCGGATGATCACTTTCCCTGCTATGAACAGAAATGAAAATCTAGTACATCCCAATTTCATTGTCAAATTTTCAGTTGATAAATAAATACAGTATGGGTTAAAAACATATTACGTAATAAAATACCAGGAAATGCATTTTGAGAGCCTTTAATTGGTTGATGTACAAAGTTTCATTAGATGCTACTATAAGCACAACGGATCCTAAAATGCAGGGAGTTGCTTGATTAAAAAAATCCCTCCCTCACTCGAAATAGAATACATCAGTTTGATGATGCTCTGGCAGGGAAGATACAAATTGAAAACTTTTTGTTATTTTTTTTAATAATAGCGGTAATAGAAATATATGCCATTTGGAGTCACTGAACCAATTTAGAGTTTGTTGTTACTTGCTGTCAACTTGGCAACTCTACAAATTATGTCTAAAATCCCTTGCCAGCAACTGTTCTGTTCAGGTATTGCAAATGGGAGACAACTATGGGTTTTTTTGTTTTATTTAAAAAAAAAAATCAATTCATCTGTAATATGGTCTTTCCTTTTTCCTCCTTCATTGACTGCTCTTTTTTGCCTGCTACATGGAGCAAACTGCATTAAAAATAAGACCCAGTGGCGCAATGGGTTAAACCCTTGTGCCGGCAGGACTGCTGACCGAAAGATTGACAGTTTGAATCCGGAGAGTGGGGTGAGCTCCCATCTGTTAGCTCCAGCTCCTCGTGCAATAATGTGAGAAAAGCCTCCCACAGGATGGTAAAATATCCGGGCACCCCCTGGGCAACATCCTTGCAGACAGCCAATTTTCTCACACCATAAGCGACTTGCAGTTTCTCAAGTTGCTCCTGACACACACACACACACACACACACACACAAATAATTGGGGAGGTATAAATAATACAAACTGGCAAGTGCACTAAAATGAAAGGAGGGAGTTATATGAGAAGTGTATGACATAGCAATTATATATACTTATAATGCATAATATATATACAGTAGGCCCTTGGTATCTACCAAAATCCATGGATGCTCAAGTCCCATTGGATACAGTGGCATAGCAACACCTTATATAAAATTGATTTTCTTTTGTAATATTTTCAAGCTGTAGATCAGTGTTTCTCAACCTTCTTAATGCCGCAACCCTTAATACAGTTCCTCATGTGGTGGTGACTCCCAACCATAAAATTATTTTTGTTGCTACTTCATAACTGTAATTTTGCTACTGTTATGAATCGTAATGTAAATATGTGATATGCAGGATGTATTTTCAGTCACTGGAGTTGTAGTAGCTGGGATTTATAGTTCACCTACAATCAAAGAGCATTCTGAACTCCACCAACAATGGAATTGAACCAATGGAATTGAACCAATCCTAGCACAGAGAACTCCCATGACCAACAGAAAGTACTGGAAGGGTTTGGTGGGCATTGATCTTGAGTTTTGGAGTTGTAGTTCACCTACATCCAAAGAGTATTGTGGACTCAAACAATAATGGATCTGTATCAAACTTGGCATGAATACTAAATATGTCAAAATGTGAACATTGGTGGAGTTTGGGGAAAATAGACCTTGATATTTGAGAGTTGTAGTTGCTGGGATTTATAGTTCACTTATAATCAAAGAGCATTCTGAACCCCACCAACCATAGAATTGGGCCAAACTTCCCACACAGAAACCCCATGGCCAACTGAAAATACTGTGTTTTCCGATGGTGATCCCTCTGACACCCCCTCACACCCTCCTGACCCCCAGGTTGAGAAACACTGCTGTAGATGATTGTTTGAGAATCAGTAGGTACAGAGGGCTGACTGTAAATGTCTACTTAGGCTATATTTTCATTGGAGTATAAGTGAACTAGACGTGAAGAGGAAGAGCAATGCTGTCTAGACATTTCACTGCTTGGTCTCCTTGCTTGGTCACGCTGTGGTCACAATCTGGCTTTCGTCATAGTGAACAGGCCAGCCTTCTTCACAACCAATGATGATGTACCGAGGAGAGGTGTTCTCTTTGTACTCGCAAGGTGGGTGAGTTGAACCTCCCCGGAGGGTACAAGTGGTGACCCGGAAGGGCCTCCGGCTACGCCGCAGATCTCTCAAGGCCACTCCACCTTCAGCACACACTGCACGAATCTGCCTTTTGGAGCCATGGATAAAGGTATTAACTTCCTTGCATTCAGGCTTGGTCAGGCCTCGGCTGCCCATGAGGGTGTTGCAGTAGCGGCCATGGAAACTGCTCCTCGGATCATCGCGGTGTTGATTCAGAAACTTCTCATAGCGAGGGTTGTTTCCAGACAGTGAACCAGGCAGCAACTCTGCCACAAGCAGGATGAGGAGAAGATAGCAGAAGACTTCAGATTTCATTCTGTCCAACACCTACAAGGAAAACAGTGGCATCAATGCCCCTTTAGCCACAAGGAAGCAGTGTGGCTACTTGGCATCTACCTACATCCTTAATAAACCTCCATCTCCATCAAAGCAAATGTACTATTGCAAAAGTGTTGTGTGGTCTTCCTATAGTTTTATCTATATAAATAAAAATGTAATGTCAGTTTGTGGGACTAACATAACTCAAAAACCACTGGACGAATTGACACCAAATTTGGAAGCAATAAACCTATCAGGCCAGTGAGTGGCCATCATTCATAAAAACACTGAAAAACACAGTGAATGTGCAAAAACAACTCCCCCTGGCAAACAAAACACACAAAAGCATATCCATACTCTCTTTCAGACTGCAGCTCCCAGCATCCCCTATACCAGGCCTTTTAGGAGAGGAGGATGATCCAAATGCACTGCTTCCAAGCTGCAAGCCTTCTCCTCCTTAGATTTCTTTGAGAGCATCCCAATCCCTGCATATTTCCAATTTCCTATTCCTGGACTGCAACTTCCAGCAATACTCCAGATAGATTAGATTAGATTAGATAGATAGATAGATATAGATAGATAGATAGATAGATAGATAGATAGATAGATAGATAGATAGATAGATGATTGATAGATAGATAGATTAGATAGAGGTAGGTAGGTAGGTAGGTAGGTAGATTGATGAGGAGGACTGCTGGGAGTTGCAGTACAATAATAGATAGAGAAAGAAGAAAGGGGAGAAAGAGGAAGTCAAAGAAAAGGGGGAGGAAGAGAAGAGGAAAGGAAGGAAGGAAGGAAGGAAGGAAGGAAGGAAGGAAGGAAGGAAGGAAGGAAGGAAGGAAGGGAGAGAAGGAAAGAAAAAAGGGAAGGAAGGAAGGAAGGGGGGAGGGAAGGAGAGAAAGAAAGGAGGAGAGAAAGAGGGAGAAAAGGTTGGCCACAGCAACACATGGAGGGTACAGCTAGTCTTTAATAAAATGCAATCACAGAAAAGAAGGGTGCTAATCTAATAAGATTGGCAGCATGTGTGATCCCTTTCTCCTACACTAGCGGTTCTCCACCTGAGGGTCGTAACCCCTGGAGGGGTATCATTTGGCAATTTGAGATGGGTTGCAGCACTGCCTCCTTAGGCCCCGCTGCCTCCTGCAGGTCCCATGCGCCATCCACAGGTCACCAAAAAAGGCCCTGAGAAGACCTACACGGTTCACGCGAATTAATAATTGGTATTACTATTTGGTATTTTAGTAACTATATATGATTTAGTACCTATTTAGTACTGATTACATTGTTTAAAAATAAAGATCTCGGATAGCGTTGTAAGCTTGGAAGATACACAGGATACACAACTAGAGTAGTTATGTCTCCTACCCAAGGAACAGGAGCTACATGGTTCAAGGAGGATGGGAACATAAGGATCTCAAATTGCTATCCAATCCCCCAATCCATTCACTACACACAGTATCCATTTTCCTGAGATGTTATCAGACCTATTATGTTAAGGAGAAGCATAGGGAAACCATATAAGCATCTATTATATCTGCTGCCATGGTGTAGCTATAGGTACTCCAGAGAAGGTAATGTAGGTTGAGCAAAGGATGCAAGAGGGAAGAATTAAATAACTAACACTATAAACAGGGGTCCCCTAATCCCACTCCATCTTGGAATCCTAACTGACTAATCTTGGAATCATAACTGACTTTTAAAACTCTTTCAAAACTAGACAAATCTGGGTTGCTATGAGTTTTCCAGGCTATATGGCCATGTTCCAGAAATATTCTCTCCTGACATTTCACCCACATCTATGGCAGGCATCCCCAGAGGCTGAGGGGGAATTCCAGACAAGAAAGCATCAGGGTCAGCTAACACCTCCCAACAAAGGATTCCCTCAGGCAGGAACCAGCCAGGTCTTGAAACTGCAGGCCATTAAATGCTGATCAAGGTGGCAAATTGCAACATACATACATACAATAGTTCTTTCCCACACCCTGGACATTTCAGAGATATATAAACCTCACTTATTTAGTTTCCAGCAGACCCCTCAACATCTGAGGATGCCTGCCATAGATGTGGATGAAACATCAGGAAAGAATGCTTCTGGAACATGGCCATACAGTCCGGAAAACTCATAGCAACCCAGTGATTTCAGCCATGTAAGCCTTCGGCAACACGCTAGACAAATCTGTTTTCATTCCTTTCATGCAAATATTCACCAAATATTTGTTGTTGCAAATGCTTAGAAGAAATACTTCACATGCAAAATCCCCACAACTATCCAAATCTACAGTCAAAAAGTCCAGGAGCAATGCTAGGAGCCAAACCACGCTAGCTATTTACCCATTGGCCCCATTCTTGGCTCAAACGAAACTAATTGGCAGAAATATGGAACCAAAGAACATTGTGGGCCCAGACCACAAAAGCAGTGTTTTCATTCCTATTATGTAATGTCTGGAAACCAAATAGCGCTGTGTAAGAGAAAACAATACCGAAGAAAATTGCACAAAACACCTTTATGGATAGAGGTCTTACAGTTAGTGCTCTGTCCAAACTCCTTGTGGTGGTCTTAGGCCACATCAAATATCTGTTCTGCTTTTTCACCATTTAGCAATGAACGAAACAGTTGGGTGTGGCATGAGAAAGCAATCCAAGAAAGATCGTACATTAAATTGTCAAAGGGGGAAGAAGTGGCTCTCCTTCTATAGTTGAAGAACAAGCAGCAGAAACAAAGCAAAAGAGAAAAGGAAGGGAAAAGGACACCCACCTTTTCCAGAGAAGACAAACTTTTGCTCAGGATCTCAGCTGATCACGTTGCAAACTGATAGTTCTCTTTGGCGTTTGAACCAATGGAAAGTCAGTAAAAGGTTTCATCATGGCTCGCTGGGCAGAAATCCCTGGATCGTCCCACATAGTTTTCCTCTAAAGCTGCATTTCCCATTCCCTTGTAGAAAGTAGGCTGGGTTTTTGTTTTGGAAACATTAGACAAGTTACCTTTGGGCAACTGCACCTTCAGAATCTCCTGTCCAGGTTGAAAAATTGTTATTTTCTCCTGGTTGGAGTATTTTGAAAGAAGCAGCTCCTATAAGTAACTCTTCTCAGTTTCAAGTTTTAGCCAACAGCAATCTATATAAATAAAAATGTAATGTTCGTTTGTGATATTAACAGAACTCAAAAACCACTGAGGGAATTGACACCAAATTTGGACACAAGACACCTAACAACCCAATGTATGTCCTTCGCTCAAAAAAATTGATTTTGTCATTTGGGAGTTGTAGTTGCTGGGATTTATAGTTCACCTACAATTAAAGAGTATTCTGAACCCTACCAACGGTGGAATTGAACCAAACTTGGCACACAGTTCTCCCATGACCAACAGAAAATACTGGAAGGGTTTGGTGGGCAGTGTCCTTTGGTTTTGGAGTTGTAGTTCACCTACATCCAGAGAGCACTGCATGATGGATCTGGACCAAACTTGGTATGAATACTCAATATGCCCAAATGTGAACACTGGTGGAGTTTGGGGAAAATAGAATCTTAACATTTGGGAGTTGTAGTTGCTGGGATTTATAGTTCACCTGCAATCAAAGAGCATTCTGAACTCCACCAACAATAGAAGTGGGCCAAACCTCCCACACAGAATCCCCATGACCACCAGAGTGGGCCACAGCAACGCGTGGCAGGGGATGGCTAGTAACGAAATATAATTAAAAACAACTCTTCCTCCATTCCTAACTCGTTCCTTTACACATCAAAATAAATTCCAGAATGTACTCTGCTCTCCGAAGCAGCATTTTGAAACCTTGATTATTTTCCACATCTTCTGCCAGAAACATCTGTTTTCTCCATTGATCTTTTTGGTTCAAATGGGGTTAGAGGCATATTCCTTCTACGAATGCAGAAAGAACATGATTTTTTTTAAGAAAAGCAATTTTAACATGAAATTATTTACTTATTTATTTCAAACATTTGTACCCCACCCTTGTCAACCTCCCCCCTCGGGGGGGGGAGGGGGCTCAGGGCAGCTTACATCCAGCCCAATTAGATGCCATTACATATAAATAATACATATAGTAATACATATAAAACACAGTAAATTGATTACAAAATTAGTTTAAAATAAAAAGTACAATGATAAACAATACAATAAAAATGAATTGAGCGAACGCAACACAATCAGAAACCTTATCCATAGTCCATTTTCCATTACGTTATCATCATTGTCATTGTTAGTTATCTGCAAGCTACCCAAAGGCCTGGTCCCATAACCATGTTTTTAATTTTCTCCTGAAGGCGAGGAGGGACGTTGCTGACCTGATTTCACTGGGGAGGGAGTTCTACAAGTGGGGGGTCACTACCAAGAAGGCCCTGTCCCTTGTCCCCACCAACCATATTTGTGCCAAAGGTGGGGTCGAGAGCAGGGCCTCCGCAGAAGATCTTAAATTTCTAGATGGAACGTAGAGGGACATTAAGTTTGGACAGGTAAGCTGGGCCGGAGCTGTATAGGGCTTTGTAGGTCAAAACCAGCACTTTGGATTGTGCTCGGAATTGGACCGGCAGCCAGTGGAGCTGACATAACAGAGGGGTGGTATGCTCTCTGAGTAATCTAGCTGTCGCCCGTTGGACTAGTTGAAGTTTCCGAGCAGTCTTCAAAGGCAGCCCCATGTAGAACATGTTGCAGTAATCTATTTAGGATGTAACCAAAGTGTGGACTACCGTGGCCAGACCAGGCTTCCCAAGATACAGGCACACCTGGTGCTCAAGTTTTAATTGTGCAAAAGCTCTCCCGGCCACCGCTGACACTTGGGGTTCCAGGCTCAGCAATGAGTCCAGGATCACTCCCAAGCTGCGAACCTGCATCTTCAGGGGGAGTGTAATCTCGTTCATCACAGGTTGTAACCATATGCCCTGTTTGGCCTTTTGACTGACCAATAGGATCTCTGTCTTGTCTGAATTCCATTTCAATTTGTTAGCTCTCATGCAGTCCAACACAGTTGCCAAGCACTGATTCAAGGTCTGGACAGCCTCCTTGGTAACAGGTGGGAAGGACTGACAGATTTGGACATCAATAACATATAAAAATTCTATACAAATCTTTAGGTCTTCCAGTGTGACTCTATGGAACACTTCCACTGAATGTCAACCATGGAATTATGTTGGAGGATCTACATATACCTAGAGAAGTGATCTCACTAAGCATCTCCAATGAGATTATATGGTCAATTTCCAGTGGAAGTCAACTGTAGAGTTGTGCTGGAGGACCTACAGATTGCCAGGGAAAGCATGAATCAAATGTTTTGAATAGTCAAAGGAATGAAGATGTGGTTTTACAATGTTTTCAGCCTTCTCTGCCAAAGAGTACGATTGTCTCATCAAACTATAAATTCCAGGATTTTATAGCATTGCAGCGTAACAGTTGAAGTGGTGTCAAACTTCAATAATTATACAATGTAGACACATCATGGGAGAAAGCAGAGGTAAAATTTTATTGTCGAAGGCTTTCATGGCTGGAATCACTAGGTTCTTGTGGGTTTTTTTGGGCTATAGGGCCATGTTCTAGAGGCATTTCTCCTGACGAGGTAAAATTTTTCTAATGACAGCTAATATTTCTCCCAAACAATGGCCTGGTGGTCTTTCTTGCAACCACTAAAAGGAGAGGCTGAAAACTTCATTCATTTCTACAAATGGTTTTTTTTAAATTGCCCACCTACTAGCATGATATAGATCAACAACCCCACCAGAATGTTACAACATGGAGGGTTACTAAATTGAGGAAGACTTGGGAAGTCTGGAAGCTCTTTATAGAACCACAGACTCACCACTGTTCCCAGGCAAGTAGTATATAAGGAGAACCCTAGAAGAAGGAAATGTGGTTCATCTCTGGTCTTCAGATCTGTCAGTAGAAGAAGCCAGTCTTCTTGAAGTGAGCCAAAAGGAAAGGACATCTTTTAAGCCTAAATTTTGGGTGAGTTGAGAATGATGGACTGTGTCCAGTTTCCATATAAGCTATGCCGAAAGGAAAGTAGGGGATATGGGAATGGGTTAGGCTTTTGGATATTTAGTAGACTAGTGCGCAGTATTTGTTTCATTTGTTTCATTTGGGTATTCGTTTCGTACTGTCCGCTTGGAAGGCACGAAATGAAAGACCCATTTTCGGATGAAATAAAAAGCAAAATGAAAGAGAGAGTTGCACAGTTTCCATTTCTTTGTTTGGTTTTTGGGCCGAATGGCTTTCCTCACGTGGCCCAGGGAGTTCTTCTGCATGTGTCAGAGGAGGAGAAGGTGTTTGGGTCAATCAGAGCCCAAGAAAACAGTGATGTCGCCAGGGTATAGGTCTTTTCTGCATATCCAGAGGAAAACGTCTCAGAATCTGTGGTATCTTAAGCCCTGCCTTTAAGCTCATGGCTCCTCTGCAGATCGAGAGGAAGGGAAAGAGGGAATGTTTATATGGAGATTTTATTTATAGAAAGAAAAAAATCCCTAAAAATTGGGAGATGCCCCAAATATTAAAAAACAGCTGTTGGGAAAGTGGGAGGGAGGAAAGAAAGAAGGACAAAAGGGAAGGAAAGAAGGAAGGAAGGAAGGAAGGAAGGAAGGAAGGAAGGAAGGAAGGAAGGAGGAAAGAGAGAGGGAAGGAAGGAAGGATGAAAGAGTGGAAGGGAAGGAAGGGGGAAGGGAGAAAGAGAGAGGCAAAGAAGAGAGAGGGGGAAGGAGGAAGGAAAGAGAGAAGGAAGAAAACAAGGAAAGGAGGGAGGAAGGAAGGAAGGAAGGAAGGGTGGAAGGGAATGGAGGGAGGGGAGGGAGGAAAGGGACAAGGAAAGAAGGACAAAAGAGAAGGAAGGAGAAAGAGAGCTGGAAGGAGGGAGGGAAAGAATGAAGGGTGAAAGGGTGGAAGGGAAAAAAGGAGGAAGGGAGAAAGAGAGAGGTAAAGAAGGGAGAGAGGGAAGGAGGAAAAAAGAGAGAAGGAAGGAAGCAAAGGAGGAAGGGAAGAGGAAGGAGAAAGAAGATAGAGGGAAAGAAGGAAGGATGAAAGGGTGGAAGGGAAGGAAGGGGGAAGGAGAAAGAGAGAGAAAGAAGGAGAGAGGGAAGGAGGATGGAAGGGAAAGAAGAAGGAAGAAAGAAGGAAAGGAGGGAGGGAGGGAGGAGGAAGGAAGGGAGGAGAGGAAGGAAGGGGGAAGGGAATGGAGGGAGGGGAGGGAGGAAAGGAAAGGAAAGGAAGACAAAAGAGAAGGAAGGAGAAGAGAGAGGAAGGAAGGAAGGAAGGGAAAGGGGGAAGGAAGGAAGGAGGAAAGGAGGAAAAGAGGAAAGAAGGGAGGGAGGGAAGGAGGAAAGAAAGAGGAGAAAGAATGGAGGAAGAAGAGGAGGGAGGGAGGGAGGAATGGAGGGAGGGAGGAAGAAGAAGAGAGAGGAAGGAGGGAGGGAAAGAAGGAAGGAAGGGAGAGGAAGGGAGAAAGAAGAGGGAAGGAAGGGAGAGAGGGAAGGAGGAGGGAAAGAGAGAAGGAAGGTTAAAGAGAGAGGAGGGCCTGAGAAAAGAGCCCAAGGGGCCACATTGGGCCCTTGGCCTGGGTTTACCCATAACTGTACTAGAACCTAAGTTTCCCAAATTTTCTCACTACAACCTCGTGTTTATTGCCTTTTCAGTTATGCACCCAGCACCCAAGGCTCCAGTTATGTCCCTCAAGGTGTGTCTTCTCCTTGCCTTCCTCATGGCCACCACTTTATTCCCAGGGAGCAAAGGCACACCCTATAGCGACTTCCTGAAAAGATACCTGGACAACCCTAAGTCTGACTTCCGGAACGATGAAACTTACTGTAACCAGATGATGCGTCGCCGTAACCTGAATTGCCAGCAGGGCAATACCTTCATCCATACCGTTGAACAACACCTGATTTCCATCTGCACTTGCAGGGGGGAAGTCCTGAATGGGAAGCAGACCAGCAAAACCCTCTTCCCCATCACAGTCTGCACCCTGAAGAAGGGCCCTAGAGAGCAGCCCTGTAGTTACAAGGGGGAGATTAAAATCAGGAAGATCCAGGTTACCTGCCAGAAGGGCCTGCCTGTCCAATATATTGCTCATGTCTAGAAGGAAATGTAGGGCTGGAAGAGACGGGGCTGATGATGTGATCCCACCTTCCCATCACTTTCTAAAGCTCGAAATGTAACTTCAGTGGCTTATGTTTCCCATCTGATTTATGTCTATGTAGCACATTGCAGAATGCAGGTGCTAAATTAACAGTAGTGATTGTTTCTTGCAAGGATATCTCTGTCTAAGCCACGCACAGTTTTCAAGACAGTTTCTGTAAAACAATAAACTTGACTATTAATGACCTGCTTCTTCATTTTTCTTTGTACTCTTTTGCCATTGTGTCCTCTGTATGCAGTAAAGCATATTCTTCTCTCTCTTAGCTTTATCTATATCCCACCACCATCTCCCAAAAAGACTCGGGATGACATTAAGAAATCCTGATGTGAATTCTGGAGTAATGAGACTATTCCCAGCTTAGGACTTATTTCCACATGGTTGGTTTGCACAGCAAACAGCATTTTCTGCACAAGAGACAGCTCTCTCTACACCAGTGGTTCTTAACCAATGGGCTGTGGTCCTGCAGTGGGCCACAAGAACAAAAATCCGGTCCAAGAACCTCCTTCATCTTTTTTATTTTATTTTATTTTATTTTATTTTATTTTATTTTATTTTATTTATTTTATTTTATTTTATTTTATTTTATTTTATTTTATTTTATTTTATTTTATTTTATTTTATTTTATTTTATTTTATTTTATTTTATTTTATTTTATTTTATTTTATTTTATTTTATTATTTTATTTATTTCCCCTCCTTTCCACAGAGCTTACCACCCCACACCTTTTGGTACTAATGTTGGAGAGTGGTCCCTCGTCAAGTGGACCCTGATTAAAAAAAAATGTTGAGAACTGCTGCTTTACAAAGAAAAATATATTTCTGTATGAAATATTTTATGCACAAAGATGAGGAAAGAAGGGAGAAAAAGCCCTTAAAACTACAGTAACTGGTTTTTATTTTTAAATGAACATTCATGGATATAAACCTACTCTTCCATTTGGTACCCATGAAAAGAACTTCTATCTACGAAGGGTCATCTATATAAATAAAAATGTAATGTCCGTTTGTGGGATTAACAGAACTCAAAAACCACTGGGCAAATTGACACCGAATTTGGACATGACACCTAACAACCCAATGTATGTTCTTCACTAAAAAAAATGATTTTGTAATTTGGGAGTTGTAGTTGCTGGGATTTATAGTTCACCTACAATCAAAGAGCATTCTGAACCCCACCAACAATGGAATTGAGCCAGACTTGGCACACAGTTCTCCCATGACCAACAGAAAATACTGGAAGGATTTGGTGGGCAGTGTCCTTTGGTTTTGGAGTTGTAGTTCACCTACATCCAGAGAGCACTGTGGACTCAAACAATGATGGACCTGGACCAAAACTCTACACGAATACTCAATATGCCCAAATGTGAACACTGGTGGGGTTTGGGGAAAATAGAATCTTGACATTTGGGAGTTGTAGTTGCTGGGATTTATAGTTCACCTACAATCACAGAGCATTCTGAACCCCACCAACGATAGAATTGGGCCAAACCTCCCACACAGAACCCCATGAGGGCCACAGCAACGCGTGGCAGGGGACGGCTAGTAAACAATAAAAAGCAATCTTTGGGTAAAGCTGAGTGGCACTCCAGGGTTTGTGGGAAACTGGAGAATCTCGTGGCCTTGGGACAGTGGATAGCAGTGTTGGGTCTGATTTAGCCTGGTCCACTGTCCAGACTGGATAGTGATAACATCACAATTTCCCTGTGACCATTAGCATAAGGAAAATGGATATGTTGTGTTCATGTTGCCACTGTCACCATTCCTATTACTGGTAAATTACTTTTCCCAAACTAGGTTCACTTCACCCCTAAGCAATACAAGTAATGAGGACAACCAACAAACTTCAGTCCCTCCAGTCCGTTTAATACAAGCACAGTCCATCAAAGTTACAATTAAGCTGCTGCATCATGACAAGATCACTAGATGGTGCTAGCATCTTAGCAGTATCATTACTTTTATAACCTTTTCTCTCGAAGTCCAGCTGTTTCTACTTAGGCTGGATCTACACTGCCCTGTATGCCAGGATTTGAGCCCAGATTATCTGGCAGTGTAGACTCACATAATCAGTTCAAAGCAGATAATCTGGGATCGGATCCTGGGCTGTAAGGACACTGTAGAAGGGGCCTCATATAATCCACTTCAAAAAAGATAATCTGGGATCAGATCCTGGAATACAGGGCAGTATAGAACCTAGTTTCCAACAGACCTCATAACCTCTGAGGATGCCTGCCATAGATATGGGCGAAAGGCCAGGAGAGAATGCTTCTGGAACATGGCCATACATGGCACAGAAAACTCACAGCAACCCAACATATTTTCTGTTATGAACATCGTATATGCTGGAAGGTTCTGCTATTTTTGTGGAGGTGCCTAGGTGCCACTAGGGGAGACAAAACGGTTTTTTTCTGCTGGGGTTTGGTATCCAGGACCAACCATGGTCCAAACTATATGACCGCTTGATTCCTATTATATTCAATAGGGTAGCAAAATAATGTGCTTTGATTATGTGCTCCTGCATGGCAGAGGGTTTGGCTGGGTGGTCCTTGTGGTCTCTTCTAACCAAGGTTTGTGGTTTTTTGGAATATTTCAAATCCATGGATGGTTGAATTCATGGATGCACAACACATGGATCTGGAGGACTGACTTTAAATGTCTACTTAGGCTCTGTTTTGATTAGGATACAGGAGGACTGAAAGGAAGCAGAACCCTTAAGAGGAAGAGCAATACAGACCAGACATTGTGGTGATATTCCTTCTGGCTTGGTCATGTCATGGTCAGGATCTGGCTTTCATTGAAGTGAATAGGCCAGCCTCCTTTGCAGTCAGTGATGATGTACCAAGAAGAGGTGGTTTCTTTGTATTTGCATGATAGGCGGGTTGAACCATGGATAAAAATATTGACTTCCTTATCTTTGAGTTTGGACAGGACACAGCTGCTGATGAGGGTGTCCTTAATCCGCACAGTCAGTTTGTCCATCTCAGCTAGTTCACAGGCCTTCGTCAGTCATTCATCTAGTGCTGGGATTACTAGTTCCTTCCATCTCTGTGCATAGATAATTCTGACTGCAGTTATTTTATATTGTAGTCACATTCCATGTTTTCTTTCTAGTTGATTGCCCAGAATTCCTAACAAATTAAACTCTGTATTCATCATGACTTTAATCATTTCTTCCAACATCATATTTTAGTCCAATATTTCTGGTTCTCTTTGCAAGACCATCACATATAGTCAAATGTTCCAATGTTTTCCTTACATTTCCAAAATTTGCTAAAGATGCCTTGGTACAACTTAGAAAGCCTCTCTCTAGTCAAGAACTATCTGTATACTCACAACCCCTGAGGATATTTTTATTTGTCGTGTCAGGGCAACCAGTCAATTATATTACATTTCTAACAGAACAAAGCAAACAGACAAAATACAAAATTTGTGAGTTTGGTAGTTGATTAAATGTCCTTTGGTCAGTATCTGGCCACTTGGAGTGCCTCTGGTGTTGCTGCAAGAAGGTCCTCCATTGTGCATGTGGCAGGGCTCAGGTTGCATTGCAGCAGGTGGTCAGCGGTTTGCTCTTCTCCACACTCGCATGTTGTGGATTCCACTTTGTAGCCCCATTTCTGAAGGTTGGCTCTGCATCTCGTGGTGCCAGAGCACAAACTGTTCAGCGCCTTCCAAGTCGCCCAGTCTTCTGTGTGCCCAGGGGGGAGTCTCTCATTTGGTATCAGCCATTGGTTGAGGTGCTGGGTTTGAGCCTGCCACTTTTGGACTCCCACTTCCTGAGGTGTTCCAGCGAATGTCTCTAAGATCTTAGAAAACTATTTCTAGATTTAAGTCTGCCTGATACCCAAACAGGGGATGAGCTGGAGATGTCTCTGCCTTGGTCCTTTCACTATTGGCTGCTACTTCCCGGCGGATGTCAGGTGGTGCAATACCGGCTAGGCAGTGTAATTTCTCCAGTGGTGTAGGGCGCAGACACCCCGTGATAATGTGGCATGTCTCATTAAGAGCCACATCCACTGTTTTAGTGTGGTGATGTGTTCCACACTGGGCATGCATACTCAGCAGCCGAGTAGCACAGCGCAAGGGCAGATGTCTTCACTGTATCTGGTTGTGATCCCCAGGTTGTGCCAGTCAGCTTTCGTATGATATTGTTTCTAGCACCCACTTTTTGCTTGATGTTCAGGCAATGCTTCTTGTAGGTCAGAGCACAGTCCAGAGTGACTCCCAGGTATTTGGGTGTGCTGCAATGCTCCAGTAGGATTCCTTCCCAGGACCCCTGAGGATACCTGCCACAGATGCAGACGAAACGTCAGGAGAGAATGCTTCTAGAACATGGCTGAAAAACCTACAACAACCCATCTGTATATGGTCTTATATTGTTTTCCTTTCAAATCATTTCACTTCAAACTTCTTGTCCCTACCCTCTCACATTGTTCCAATTGCATTTGTTGTTACATTTCAAGCCAATCTAATCATATAGCCTTTCATTTGTTCTTCCTTCATTACATATTTTAACAACAATTTGTACATTTTTTCGAATAGATGATCATTCCCTAAACTCAATAGGCTTTCAAACTCTGGTTTAACTAGTTCAAATAAGATTTTCTCCATCTTAACCCAGTGATTTGTCTAGGACAGTGTTTCTCAACTTGAGGGTTGGGACCCCTGGGGGGGGGTTCATGAGGGGGGTTTCAGAGGGGTCGCCAAAGACCAGTAGAAAACACATAATTCTGATGGTCTTAGAAACCCTTTTGGAAGAGAAGGCTGAAGATCTCTCTGCCTGTTTTTCTCTTCTTCTTTGGTGTTGAACTACAACTCTCAGAATTCAAAAACAGCCCCCCACCCCAACCCACCAGTATTCAATGTTGTCCATGTAGGTAATCTGCCAAGTTTGGTGCAGATCCATTGTGAGCTGGGTTCAGAGTGCTCTTTGATGGTTGGTTAACTATAAATACCAGCAACTACAACTTCCAAATGTCAAAGTCCTTTTTCCTCAAACCCCACCAGGTTTCACATTTAGGCTTATTGTATATTCGTGCCAAGTTTGGTCCAGATCCATCATTTATTGAGTCCACAGTGCTCTCTGAATGTAGGCGAAGTACAACTCCAAACTCAAGGTCAATGCCCACCAGACCCTTCTAATACTTTCTGTTGCTCAGGGGAGTTCTGTTGTGCCAGGTATAGGGATATTTTACAATTGGAGCTCCCAGTGGCGGAGTGGGTTAAACTACTGAGCTGCTGGACTTGCTGACCAAAAAGTCGCAGGTTTGAATCCAGGGACGGCGTGAACTCCTGCTTTTAACCCCAGCTTTTGCCAATCTAGCAGTTCAAAAACATGCAAATGTGAGTAGATCAATAGGTACCTCTCCGGTGGGAAGGTAACAGCGCTACATGCAGTCATGCTAGCCACATGACCTCGGAGGTGTCTACGGACACCACCAGCTCTTCAGCTTAGAAATGGAGATGAGCACCAACCTCTAGAGTCAAACACGACTGGACTTAATGTCAGGGGAAAACCTTTACCTAACCTATTTTAAAATTGACTTATTTACTGATTTTTTAAAAAAGTTGTTAGGCTTTTTAATGTGATTTTCATTCTCATTTGCTAAATGAATAGAAAGAAAGGCAGAAAGGGCCTGTCTGCTCTCATCTGTAAATCATCCAGTTGAATGCTGTGCTATTGCAAGATATGGGTCTCATGTTCCCATTCTCTCATGCTGTTGTAATGTATCTATGGTGGAACATGGCCTCTCCACAGGTCTGTCTCAACTGAAGTCGGTTGGTGGTTTGGCTGCCCAACAGGTGAGGATTACAACACTATTGAAGAAGTAGAGCAGCCTTGCCTGGTTGCCCAAGATGAAAGAAAAGAGAGATTGAGACATCTCCTAGTATCTTTAAAAAAACTAATCCAAGAAAATGCTCTGTCTATCAGAGAATGACCATATAACTTTTCTATTCGTCATGGGGGTTCTGTGTGAGAAGTTTGACCCAATTCTATCGTCGGTGGGGTTCAGAATGTACTTTGATTGTGGATGAACTATAAATCCCAGCAACTACAACTCCTAAATCTCAAGGTCTATTTTCCCAAAACTCCACCAGTGTTCACATTTGAGCATATTGAGTATTTGTGCCACGTTTGGTCCAGATCCATCATTGTTTGAGTCCACAGTGCTCTCTGGGTGTAGGTGAACTACAACTCCAAAACTCAAGGTCAATGCCCACCAAACCCTTCCAGTATTTTCTTTTGGTCATGGGAGTTCTGTGTACAATGTTTGGTTCAATTCCATCGTCGGTGGGGTTCAGAATGCTCTTTGTAGGTGAACTATAAATACCAGCAACTACAACTCCCAAATGACCCCCAAATGACAAAATCAGTATGCGGATCTTTGTTGCCAGTGTGATTTCTCTACTCTTCACATTTTATAGAATGCACATATTAAAAGGTATTTCTACAAAATACATATTAAAATACACAGAACACAGATTAAAACACAAAATTCATGATTAAAGCTGGCTGGGTAGATCTTCAGATGTGTTTTCAATTCTGACAGCAAATGTAGCTCTCAGAGCTGTTTCCGCAGGTCGTTCCATAGTCTTGGGGCTATCGATGAAAAGGTCCTCTGGGTGAGGGTGGCCAGTTGGGTTCTGGCTGGATGGAGTAGCCACCTCCCAGAGGACCTGTGTTTGGGGCGGATTGTACAGGAGAAGGTGATCTTGTAGGTAACCTGGATTCAAACCATGTAAACCATATAAGATAATTAGTAATTTAAATGAAAAATAATTATTAGCGCTAACAGCTCTCAAGAAAACAGGGTCTAATGATCTTGTGTTTACAATCCCTAGAAAGAGAGACTGATAATTATTCATATAGACAATTCATCTGATAACTTGGCCCCAGCTAGGATCCTGCACTATACTATTGTCCAGTACTTAAAGTTATAATGCTCTTACATTGCCCCCTATCTTTGCTATTGCCAATTGACTTAGGCACTTTAGCCATCAACCCTATCCTTACAACTGATTTGCATCAGCCACCCACCTGTGCCCAGAAAGTGATCATTATTGCAGATCTATTGGTTGCTGGTTGATGTCTGCCTTTATATTATTGTTATAATGTTGTTTTATTTTGTTTATGTTGTTGCTGATGTAATTTAATGTGTTTTATTTTAACTATGTTTTAACTATCGGGGCCGTCCCCATGTAAGCCACCCAGAGTCCCCTTAGGGAGATGGAGTTGGGGTACAAAAATAAAGTTATTGTATTATTACTATTATTACGTGTTGCTGTGGCGCAGTCTGTGTATATGTGTTTTGTGTGTGTATATATTTGTGTGTATGTGTATATATCTGTGTTTGCATATATATATATATGTGCGGTTTTGCGCATGCATTGTAATGTTTTCTTTTTGTTTTTGGCTTTTTAAGTCTCTTCTACTGTGTTTTTCAGTGTTCTTATGAGTGATGGTCACTCATTGACCTGATATGCGTATTGTGTCCAAATTTGGTGTCAATTCATCCAGTGCTTTTTGAGTTATGTTAATCCCACAAACTAACATTATATTTTTATTTATATAGATACTTGCCGTCCCCTGCCACGTGTTGCTGTGGCCCAGTCTGTGTATATGTGTTTTGTGTATGTACATATGTGTATATGTGTGTGTATATATTTGTGTATATATGTAGTTATGAGGAAGTGTTGTAATTTTTTAATATATATTTTTTTGCTTTTTAAGTCTCTTCCACTGTGTTTTCCAGTGTTTTTATGAGTGATGGTTACTCGTTGGCCTAATATGTGTATTGTGTCCAAATGTGGTGTCAATTCATCCAGTGGTTTTTGAGTTATGTTAATCCCACAAAGGAACATTACATTTTTATTTATATAGATATTATTATTTATGAAGACCTTTTTAATTTTAAAACTGCCCGTTTTCTAACATGATATAGCTCAGTCATCCTCACCAGAAAGTTACCACATGGAAGGTTACTAAATTGAGGAAGATATAGTAAGGCTGAAAGTTCTTCATACTGTACAACCACAGGCTCACCGCTGTTCCCAGGCAAGTGGTATATAATAGGAACCCTGGAAGAAGGAAACTAGGTCCTTCTCTGGGTCTTTGGCTCTGACAGCAGAAGCAGCCAGTCTTTTTGAAGGAATCCAGAAGGAAACCAAAAAGTTGGGTGAGTTGAGAAGTATGAACCATGTCCAGTTCCCACATAAACTACTATAAAAGGAAGGTAGGGTGTATGAGAATGGAATGAGTGGTGCTTTGGATACTTGTTCTTAACAGTCATTATTGACCCCAATCTATAGTGGCCCCATGAGTTAGAGACCTCCAAAATATCCTATCCTCAACAGCCCTGCTCAGGTCTTGCAAACTTCCTTCTACCTTAGCAAGCATAACTAGTCTTTTCTAATTAGTTATGTTTTCTCATGATGTCTTCAAAGTATGACTCCTTTTTTTGGTGTGTCAGGAGCAATTTGAGAAATTGCAAGTCACTTCTGGTGTGAAAGAATTGTCTGTCTTCAAGGACGCTGCCCAGGGAACACCTGGATGTTTGATGTTTTACCATCCTGTGGGAGGCTTCTTTCATCTCCCTGCATAGGGAGCTAGAGCTGACAGACGGAGCTCAACCCACTCTCCCTGGATTCAAACCACTGACCTATCAGTCAGCAGTCCTGCTGGCGCAAGGGTTTAACCCGTTGCGCCACCGGAGGCTCCAGTGTACTTTATAAAGTACAGTGGATGCATTTTCTTCAGTGATCACTGTAAACACTGCATTTTGTTGGCAACAGATTTGTGTAAGTGTCTAGGTGGCTTTCAGAAATCTTTAACTGTTGGTAGTTTTATCACAACCCCAATACTGAGCTAAGAGGACCCCATTTGGGGTCAGAACCCTTAGTCTAAGAAGCAGTGCTACAGAATAGTGGGATTTGTAGTTTAGTGAAATATTTGGAATTTTATGCTTGGCAGCTCAAGGCAAATGATCATTGCTTTGAATTACAGTAGCAAACTTTAAGTGCCTCAGCCAGTGGTTCTCAACCTGTGGGTCCTCAGGTGTTTTGGCCTACAACTCCCAGAAATCCCAGCCAGTTTACCAGTTGTTAAGATTTCTGGGAGTTGAAGACCAAAACATCTGGGAACCCACAGGTTGAGAACCACTGGGCTGCCCTCAGCAATCTAGAAATCATAGAATCATAGAATTCTAGAGTTGGAAGATATCTCATGGGTCTAAGCCCCTGCCAAGGAGCAGGAAAACTGCATTTAAAGCACCTCCAACAGATGGCCATCCAGCATCTGTTTAAAAGTCTACAAAGAAGGAGCCTCCAACACATTCTAGGGCAGAGAGTTCCACAGCTGACAGCTCTCACAGTTAGGAAGTTCTTCCTAGGACTTTCTAGGGGGAAATTAATTTTGAGTCTTCTTTGCCTAATGGCCTTCTGTGCCTCATTTATCATGAGCAATTAGAAAGAGGACATATTTTCATGTAGTGTTTCTTTTTTTCTTCTGGTTTGGTCTAGCCATTATGGTTGTGTGGTAGAAATAGATAGAATATTCAAATAGTGTATTAAAAATGTGTTGGGAAAGTTTGATAAAGAAGATCCTAGGCTAAGAAGAATCTGTTCTGTTCCGGAGTTATTCTTATCAATTCTTTCTTCTCCTCTCCATTTTATCATTGCATCAAACCTATGAAGCAAGACATGCATAGTGAGAGCAAGAGGGGGATTTCACTCAGGGGCTTCATAGCATATAACCTGGATCTTTTAGGATCAACTCCAATCTTCTAACACAACATGCCCAGGAAGCTCCATGGTTTCTCCAATTCTGACTTTATTCTCTCCTAAGATCCACCACTGATAACATGGTCAATAGGTACTAGAACCTATGTTTCTCAAATGTTCTCACCACAACCACGCATTTTTTGCCTTTTCAGGTACACATTCAACATTCAAGGACTCAGTCATGTCTTTCAAGGTGTGTTTTCTCCTTGCCTTCCTCGTGGCCACTGCTCTGTTCCAAGGAAGTGAAGGCACATCCTACAGCGACTTCTTGAAAAGGCACCTGGACAACCCGAAGTCTGACTATCAGAATGACGAGACTTACTGCAACCTAATGATGAGTCGCAGGAACCTGAACTGCCAGCAGGGTAACACTTTCATCCATGCTGTTGAACAGCAGTTGGTTGACATCTGCAATTCCACAGGGAAAGTTCTGGATGGGAACCAAACCAGCAAAACACTTTTCCCCATCACAGTCTGCACCCTACAGAAGGGCTCCAACAAGCTGTCCTGCAAGTACAAGGGGGAGACGAAAATCAAGAAGATTCGGGTTACCTGCCAGAAAGGCCTCCCTGTTCATTATATTGCCCATACATAAGTGTGGAGGGAAATGTGGGGCTGGAAGAGATAGGGCTTATTATGTGATCCCACCTTCACAACAGCGTTTTCTGCAAAGCATCTCTTTCTCACACAGAGCTCATTATAATTCTGTGCCTAGAAGCAGCTGCTCTCCCTAGTTCAAAATCTAACTTTGGTGACTGATGTTTCCTTTATGATTTAAGTCTATGCAACACATTGCCAAATATGGATTCTAAATTAGTGTCAAAACAATAATAGTCATGGTATCTTTGAATCCAGGAATGTGCCTTTCTAAGTCAGTTTGTAGTTTCCTGGTTAATTTCTGTAATACAATAAACAAAAACTATTACTAATCCATTTCATTGTTCTTCTCTGTATTCTTCTGCCTTCATGTGTTCTTTATGCAACACGGCACACTCTGCTCTCACCTAGGAATGGAAATAATATTTGAAAATGTTTGAAAAGAAGTGGAAAAGATACATGTTTTCTAATAAGAATCCCAATAAAAAGAAGTTGGGGCTAATGAGGATTTTCACACAATTTGCACAAACTTAGCACATGTGTGGTTTGCACAGAAAGCAGCATTTTCTGCACAGAAAACAGTATTTTCTACAAAGGAAAACAAATGTCTGGATACAGTATTTTATGCATAGAAAAGGAGGAAGGAAAGGGAGGAAACAAATAATGTGACATCACCTTTATATAAAATTAGGTTTTTTTGCACATGGTTTCATGGATATAAAGCCATTCTTCTATTTGATACTACATCAAAAGAAAAGAGTTTATACCCTGAAAGGTCATCTATCTATACACACACACACACACACACACACACACACAGATATATATATATATTCTAACACATAAGAAAAGTGAAAATGTGTATATATTTGTATGTGGCAGAGAAGCCTCCCATCTTCACAAACAGCTTTAACCCACAGTGCTGAGGAACCACCAGAGCACTCCCTCCAAAGGTTACAGTGAGTGCCATGAACATATCTCTCAACTCCCGCCAATGTCCTCCCCAAACACCGTACTGCCCACAACCCAAGTGAAGGTGGTTCTCCCCAAACACCATACTGCCCATCACCCAAGTGAAGGCTTTCATACAGGGACAATTTCATCCTAGATTTGATGTGCTTCCTCCACATCCTAGTGCTTCGGACTCTCTCCATTGGTGTTTTATTTGCATGACCCTGCTCACTGCCTCTCCCTTAGCCCTATCCTACCCTTCCCTATGGCACACAGCAATCAGAGAGGAATTGATCAGCAACTGAACATACTGGAGGGGTTTTGGGGGACTGACTCAACATGATAAATATTGTAGTTAACCTTGCATCAAGACAGACTCCTACCAACAATGGACCTAGACCACATTTGGCACACAGAATCCCCATGACCAACAAAATATGCTGGAGAGGTTTGGAAGGACTTCACCTTGATTTATAGGATTTGTAGGTACTGGGGTGCATAGTTCACCTGCAATCAAATAACATTCTGAACCCCACCAATGATGGACCTAGAACTAACTTGGCACACAGAACCCTCATGACGAACACAATGTACTGGAGGTCTTTGGAAGGATTTATAGTAGTTGTAGTTCATCTACATCCAGAGAGCACTGTGAACCTAAATAATGATCTGGACTAAACTGAGCACACATATCTGATATGCCCATATTGGAATACTGGTGGGAGTTGTAGGTACTTGGATTTATAGTTTATCTGCAATCAAAGAGCATTCTGAACCCCATCAAAATGGGAATTGGACCAAACTCATGATCATCAAAACATACTGGAGGTCTTTGGAGAAAATTCACCTTCATTTGGGGGAGTTGTAGTTTATCTACATCCAGAGAGCATTGTGAACCCAAAAGCTGATGGCTCTGGACCAATCTAGTACAATCCAGATGTTCTGCATATGAAATTATAAATTCATAGAGCTGGAAGAGACCATAGGGGACATCCAGTTCAATCCTATTCTCCATACAGGAACACAGAATGAAAACACCCCCACCCCAACAAAAGTCCATCCAACCTCTGCTTTAAAATCTCCAAAGGAGACTCCACCATGTTCCAAGACAGCCTATTCCACTGCAAAGAGTTCTTACTATCAAGGCTCAGAAAAGTGCATTTTGTATTGTGCTATTTACTTTTGTTTGTTGATTTGTTTCCTGAAATAATAATTAACTATTTAAAAGAAAAGAACTTGCTTTCTCAGACAAACCTCAAAATATGTACCTGAAGGAATGGCTTACTCCTAATTTATCAGAAATATAGTATTATACTTTTCCCAATCCTCCTCTTCCTGATCTGGTCCAGAAAAGAGAAAAGCAATGGCTCTTTTCCAGTCTTCATAAGGAGAGGGATGTCAAAAGTCCAAACTTGCATGGCATGCACAAAACCATGGACCACTCTTGATAGTGAATTATAAGGCTTGTTAGTGGTTTATCACTTTCTCCAGTCCAGTTTCATAGAATCATAGAATCAAAGAGTTGGAAGAGACCTCATGGGCCATCCAGTCCAACCCCCTGCCAAGAAGCAGGACTATTGCATTCAAATCACCCCTGACAGATGGCCATCCAGCCCCTATTTAAAAGCTTCCAAAGAAGGAGCCTCCACCACACTCCGGGGCAGAGAGTTCCACTGCTGAACGGCTCTCACAGAAAGTTCTTCCTCATGTTCAGATGGAATCTCCTCTCTTGTAGTTTGAAGCCATTGTTTCGTGTCCTAGTCTCCAGGGAAGCAGAAAACAAACTTGCTCCCTCCTCCCTGTGGCTTCCTCTCACATATTTATACATGGCTATCATGCCTTCTCTTCTTCAGGCTAAACATGCCCAGCTCCTTAAGCCGCTCCTCATAGGGCTTGTTCTCCAGACCCTTGATCATTTTAGTCACCCTCCTCTGGACACATTCCAGCTTGTCAATATCTCTCTGGAATTGTGGTGCCCAGAATTGGACACAATATTCCAGGTGTGGTCTAACCAAAGCAGAATAGAGGGGTAGCATTACTTCCCTAGATCTAGACACTATGCTCCTATTGATGCAGGCCAAAATCCCATTGGCTTTTTTACCGCACATCACATTGTTGGCTCATGTTTAACTTGTTGTTCACTTCAGCCCTATGCAACACAACAAGAGAACCAACAGACTTCAGTCTATTTACAAGCTCAGCTTATCAGTTATAACCGAGCTGTTACAACAGGATGGCATCAGTAGATGGTGCTAGCATCTTAGAAATTTGATTGCTTCTTAATATTCCTTTGCCTTGAAATGCAGTTGTATTTGTTCCCTTTGACTTGCCCCTAAGCTGTTGCTGTCCTGCCAATATTAAGCTTGTCCTACAACTCTTCTCCCCACAACCTGCAACTGTCCACTATGGTCTCCTTCTCACCTTTTTTAGATACTAGTCATTTTTCTTAAATGTTGCCTCGCTCTAGTTCAGTGGTTCCCAACCAGTGGTCTGCAAAAATATGTCTGCAAAACATTTAAAATTTAAAACTTTTATTCATTTTACATTAATTTAATTTTTTTTCATGTTAGGAGCAACTTGAGAAACTGCAAGTTGCTTCTGGTGTGAGAAAATTGGCAGTCTGCAAGGACGTTGCCCAGGGGACGCCCGGATGTTTGATGTTTTACCATCCTTGTGGGAGGCTTCTCTCATGTCTCCACATGGGGAGCTGGAGCTGACAGAGGGAACTCATCCTCATTCTCCCTGGATTCAAACCTCCGACCTGTTGGTTGTCAGTCCTGCCACTACAAGGGTTTAACTCATTGTGCCACCAGGGGCACCTATATTTTTAATGAATCAATTGCTATGCGGGTGGCGCCAACAAGTAGGATGTTGGGCGGTGGGGAGGGGAAGCAATTCACGTCACATGTCACATACTCACTCCACCCAGCGTCACTCAGTCACACACATTCTTTTGTCTTGCTCCATTGTGTCAGTGATTCTGTTTTGCTGTTTAGTGATTCGATGGCTCCAGCAGTTTAACTGACTGAGAGTCCTCACAATTTGTATTAAATTTTGACTTATTTAATGATTATTGAAATTGGAGAGGGTGTGAGGGGATGTCAGAGGGATCACCAAAGACAATCAGAAAACAGTATTTTCCATTGGCCATGGGGGTCCTGTGTGGGAAGTTTGGCCCAATTCTATCATTGGTGGGGTTCAGAATGCTCTTTGATTGTAGGTGAACTATAAATCCCAGCAACTACAACTCCCAAATGTCAAGGTCTATTTCCTCCAAACTCCACCAGTGTTCACATTTGTACATATTGAGTATTTGTACCAAGTTTGGTCCAGATCAATCATTGTTTGAGTCCACAGTGCTCTCTGGATGTAGGTGAACTACAACTCACAAACTCAAGGTCAATGCCCACCAAACCCTTCCACTATTTTCTGTTGGTCATTGGAGTTCTGTGTACCAAGTTTGGTTCAATTCCATCGTTAGATGAGTTCATGTTGAGTATTTGTGCCAAGTTTGGTCCAGATCCATCATGGGTTGAGTCCACAGTGCTCTCTGGATGTAGGTGAACTACAAATTTGGTCCAGTGAATGGAAATACATCCTGCATATCAGATGTTTACATTCAGATTCATAACAGTTGCAAAATTACAGTTATGAAGAATCAACAAAAATGATTTTATGCTTGGGGGTCACCACAACATGAGGAACTGTATTCAGGGGTCACAGCATTAGGAAGGTTGTGAACCACTGCCTTAACGGCTTGGATGTCTGGAAAAACATTTTGGGCATTATAAATATAGCACACACCATTATCAGGATTAAAGATTCTGATAGTAGATAATTATTATAAAACTACAAGAGAACCTTTAAGTAAGGTTTGAAGCTGTGTCATGTTACATAAACTTGCAACACTTTACATAAATATATAATGTAACTTTGGAAATGTGTAACTCTGATGAAATCATAATCTTTTTTCAATGTTATTCTTTAAGATGAAAGTATTTATTTAGCCTTTAAGTAATAACCATATCTATTATTAGCTGTTCAAGGGTGTGTACATTCTCCGGCCACTTTGCATATATATATATTATGCAGATCATTTGCTCATTGAGAAAAATGTGTTACGAACGAATTGATCGGCAACCATATACACCTTTGGCTCTCCAGGTGCTTTGGACTTCAGGTCCCATAATTCCTAACAGCCTCAGACCCCTTCCTTTTCCCCCTCAAAGGAAAGGACCTGAGGCTGTTAGGAATTGTGGGAGTCGAAGTCCAAAACACCTGGAGGGTCCAAGTTTGCCCATGCCTGATACACACCCACTGATTTCACATTCAGGGGAAAAAACTACTTTTGAAGATTTTCTTAGACCCATTGGATGGAAACTCTGTAGGCCAGTTGCTCTTTACCTGGGGTTCGGGACCCCTGGGGATCACTATGTCCTCACAGTGGGTTCATGAAGAATTAAATTATCAAATTAT